AACCAAACCAGCCCAAAAAAGCTGGTTTTTGTTGGTTTTTTTTTTCCCTCTGTGCTCCTTGCAGAGCTGGGCCGGTGCAGCAGAGCGCTGGGAGCTCGGCCCGGCCGGGGCCCAGCCTCGGCTCGCAGCTCCCGGGTGGTTTTTAATGCGGTCGCGATTTTCGATCAGCGGCTGGAACCCCCTGTGCTCGCTGATGTGAGCAGATGCGAGCCCGCGGGGCCGGCCCCTGTGGGGACACAGAGGGGACAGCGGGGTCTGAGCGCGCTCGGGGCACCTGGGGGACCTGGGCACGCCCGGGATGCTCGGGGACAGCGCCGGTCCCGAGCACGAGCAGCTCCTCAGCCCGGCTGCTGCTGGCTCCGCTGCTTTCTCTTCTTACTTCTCTTTTTATCTTTTTCTTTATCTTCATCTTTATTTTCTTCTTTATCGCTTTCTTTATCGTCTCTTTATTCTTATTCTTACTATTTTCATGCTCTTGTTTTTAGTCTTTATCTTCTCCTTCTTTCTCTTCTCCTCCTGATTCTTCATTTTTTCCTCTTATTTTTTTCATAGTTTTTCATTTTTCTCTTCCATTTTCTACTTCTTTTTCTATTTTATCTTCCTCCCCCGCCCCTTCTTTTTCTTAATCTTAATTTTCTTCTATTTTCTTTTTCTGTATATTTTTTTTTTTCTTCTCATTTTTTTCTTTCTCTTTCTATTTTTTTTTCTTTTTCTTCTCTTTCTTTTTCTATTCCTCACTCTCTCGCAAGGGCAATTTTGAGTCAGCCTCCACCCGCTGACTTTTCTTTCCACTGCTCTTCCCCCGGCCCCGCTTCCTGCAGGGGGGGGCCCGGACCCCCCTTTTCCCCTCGTGTCCCCCGTCCCCTCAGGAATTGGGGGTGAAGATTCCCCGGGTGGGGAATTGAGGGGTGGTGGCGCTGGTGGCGTTCTGGAGGGGGGTGACATTAATGGGGTGACCGGACAGCAGCGGGGGGGGGGACACCGGTGTCCAGCTCCGGCCATCGGGGCTCCAGGAGTTGCCAAAATTCCATGGCCGGGAGCCACGGGGGGGCCTGAACTGGTGCCCACGGCCACGGCTGGAGGCCCTGACACCAACCGGGGCCACTGGGAATACTGGGGATAGTGGGGATAGTGGGGATACTGGGGATACTGGGAATACTGGGGACACTGGGGATACTGGGGATACTGGGGATACTGGGGACACTGGGGATACTGGGGTACTGGGGCTGCTGGAGACATTGGGGTACTGGGGCCACTGGGGATACTGGGGCCACTGGGGATACTGGGAATACTGGGGATAATGGGAATACTGGGGATACTGGGGCTGCTGGGGGCACTGGGGATTCTGGAGACATTGGGGGCACTGGGGACACTGGGGATACTGGGGATATGGGGACACTGGGGATACTGGGGATACTGGGGCTATTGAAAATACTGGGGATACTGGGGCTATTGGGGCTATTGAAAATACTGGGGATACTGGGGCTATTGGGGACATGGGGACACTGGGGGCACTGGGGGCACTGGGGGCACTGGGATGAGTCCCCACGAGGGGCAGAGCAGCGGGCAGAGCTGTCCCAGGGCAGCGCCCCTGTGGTTTCAGGGGACGCCCGGGAGGCAGCGGGTGCAGCCCCGGGGGGGTGGCAGCTGCCACCCCGTGGTCCCCCCCGGTGCCACCGTGTCCCCTTCCTGCCCTTGGCGCGGGCTGGCGCCCGGCCCGAAATAGCAGCGGTGTTGGTTTCCGATCCGGAAGGTGCCTGGGGAGGGGGAGGAAGGTGCCGGGGGGGCTCGGCCCCGAGAGCAGCCCCCAGCAGCTGCCGGGGTCACTCAGCTGCTCGCGGGCAGCGGGGGGGGCAGCGCCTGCCTCAGTTTCCCCATCATCCCCAAACTGCCCGGTGCGCACGGGCCGGGCGGGGGGGGGTGACGGTGTCTGTGCCTCTGTCCCCTGCCCAGGCGAATGTTCCCCTTCCTCAGCTTCAGCCTGTCGGGGCTGAACCCCGCGGCGCACTACAGCGTCTGCGTGGACGTGGTGCTGGTGGACCAGCACCACTGGCGCTACCAGGGCGGCAAGTGGGTGCAGTGCGGGAAGGCCGAGGGCAGCATGCCAGGTACGGGCCCTTCATCCCCCCTCCTCCTCCTCCTCCTCCCCGTCCGGCCGCTGCCGGGGCGGGGGTGACGCCGTGGCCGCTGTCCCCGCCCAGGGAACCGCCTGTACCTGCACCCCGACTCGCCCAACACGGGCGCGCACTGGATGCGGCAGGAGGTTTCCTTCGGGAAGCTGAAGCTCACCAACAACAAGGGAGCCTCCAACAACGTCGGACAGGTGAGGGGAGGGTCCCGCCGCCCTGGCAGCTCGCTGTGACGCCCCCTGACCGCTGGCCGTCCCGTTTTACCCCGCAGATGATCGTGCTGCAGTCGCTGCACAAGTACCAGCCGCGGCTGCACGTCACGGAGGTGAAGGAGGGCGAGGGGGAGGACGGGTACCCCTCCCCGCACACCCACACCTTCGCCTTCCCCGAGACCCAGTTCATCGCCGTCACCGCCTACCAGAACGCCGACGTGAGTGCGAGCCCCCCGCCAGTCCCCAGCATGGAACCCCCAAAAAACCCCCCAAGAGCACAAAAATCCCAGCAACGCCCGCAGCGGCCTCCCAGAAACCAGCTGGGATATCCCAGTGCCACCACAGCCACCCAAAACCGCCCCCAGGGCAGCCCCGTTAATCCCCCAGCAGCATCCAGGGGGTGCTGGGCTTCAGAGAAACCCCCCGGCCTCGGCCCAGGCCACCCCTGTCTGCCAGCACCCGGGGGTTCAGCATCCCTGCGACCCCAGGTACATCCCCTCAGCATCCCAGGATCGTCCCCTGCATCCCCTCGGCATCCCAGGATCTCCCCCTGCATCCCCACAGCATCCCAGGATCGTCCCCTGCATCCCCTCAGCATCCCAGGATCTCCCCCTGCATCCCCTCAGCATCCCAGGATCGTCCCCTGCATCCCCTCGGCATCCCAGGATTGTCCCCTGCATCCCCTCAGCATCCCAGGATCTCCCCCTGCATCCCCCCAGCATCCCAGGATCTCCCCCTGCATCCCCTCAGCATCCCAGGATCTCCCCTGCATCCCCCCGGCATCCCAGGGGCCTCCCAGTGCTGCCTGTATCCCCTGAGACTTCCAGAACCACCCCCTGGTCCCTTCAGCACCCACCATCCCTCCCAGAACCATCTCACGCATTCCCACAACATCCCAGGACCTCCCCCTGTGTCCCCTCAGCATCCCAGGGGCCTCCCAGTGCCCTCAGATCCCCTCAGGTTTCCAGAGCCTCCCCTGGATCCCTTCAGCCTCCCCCAGGGTTCCCCATTACCCCCCAGGACCATCTCTCACATCCCAGTTCCCCCCCAAACCCCTTCAGCGCCCCCCAGCACCCCCTGCCCAGGCGAAGGGCGGGATTCTGCTGGGATGGGGGGGAAGGAACGAGCCGCCAGCAGCGCCCCCAACCACATTCCCCCAGATCACGCAGCTGAAGATCGACCACAATCCCTTCGCCAAAGGATTCCGGGACAACTTTGACTCGTGAGTGTCAGCCCCGCGCCCCTCCCGGCCCCATCGGGCGGGAGCAGCCCCCCAAAACCCGCACCGTGTGTCCCCCCAGGATGTACCCGGGCCCGGAGAGCGAGCGCCTGACGCCGTCCCCGCCGGAGGCTCCGGGCTGCCAGCAGCTGCTGCCGGGGCCGCGCTTCCAGCCCTTCCTGCCCGAGCAGTTCCCGCTGCCCCCGGGCCGCTTCTTCGGGGGGGAGCGGGGGCCGGCAGCGCTGCCCCTGCCCCCCAAGGACGCCCCGTCCTGGTTCTTCCCCCCGCAGCAGCCGCCGGGCCCCGGCGCGCTGGACTACGGCGGCTACGAGGGCGGCTACGGGGGGGGCAAAGCGCTGCCCTACGGGGTGAAGCCGCTGCCGCTGCCGCCCGGGCCGCACCCGCCCCTGCCCTTCTACCCCGCCGAGGGCCCGGGCGGCTTCGCGGGCGGCTGGAGCCCCGCGCAGTTCGGCCCCAAGGGCGGCGCCGCGGCCCTGGGCTGGTACCGGGAGCCCCGCGAGGAGAAGGGCAAGGAGCTGGAGGGCTGGGGCAGCGAGGCCCCCGCCGGGGACCCCTCGGACTCGGGGCTGTACGAGTGCAAGCGGCGCCGCGTGTCCCCCCCGTACCCCTCGAGCACCGAGAGCTCCTCCCCGCCCCGCAACGGCGACAGCTACGACAAGGAGCCGCTCACCGACGGCGGCTACTACGGCTACTACGGCAACTGAGGCACAGCGGGGCTCAGAGCCTCCCCGGACACCCCAAATCTGCGTCCCGTGTGCCCCCCAGCCCCACATCCCGGGGCTCAGCCTGACAATCAGCCCCCGGTGCCACCCCGGAGCGGTGGCGGGGGCCAGCGGGGAGGGCAGGGCGGGGAGGGCGGTGGGGAGGGGGGTGTTTTTTGGTGTGGGTGGTTTTTAAGGGAGGGGGGTAATGCTGAAGTATTTATTGAGCCCCCCCGCGCCCGGTGTGGGGCGGGGGGCAGCAGCATATCGCAATAAAGGGGGCACTGTGGGACACGGCTCTGGGCAGTTCTGTGCGTGTGGGGAGGGAAACTGAGGCACGGCGGGGGCGTGGGAGGGGCTTGAGCGTCCCCAGCTCAATTTGGGAGGGGGTTCTGAGCTCCCCGGGGCTGGTGATGAGGGGAGGGAGAGAAGGAATCTCCCTGCACACCCCAGCTCTTCACAGCCTTTATTAGAGCAGCCCCTGTGCACAATTTGGGGGGGGCAGCGGGGTCCTCCCGCCCGCGGGCACCCTGCGACCCCCTGAACCCCCCCCCCTTATCATCCTGTGCCCCCAGGGCAGGGGGGCACTGCCAGCCCCTGCCCCCAAGTGCCTCAGGTGTCCCCAAGGCTCTGCCCCGGGGCGGGGGGGAGGCATTGCCAGTGCCCCCCTCCCACGTTTCTATCACAGTTTTACTGAAACAGCGGCAAAATGGCTCGGAAAGGGCGGGGGGTCTGCACCCCCGGTGCTGGGGGGACCAGCCCCGCTGCTGTGAGGGGCTGGGGGGCTCAGCACCCCCGGGTTTGGGGCGCTACCAGAGCACGGCGCTGTCCAGGTGCGAGAAGCCGGGGTCCAGGCGCAGCTTCCAGTAGGTGTTGTTGGTGACCCAGGACTCCTTGCCACTGGCATCTGTCACACGCCTGGCAGGGGCGGGGGGCACGGTTGGCACTTCCAGGGGGCTTTTCCCATTCCCCGAGAGCCCCACGCTCCTCTGAACCATGAGGCCTCCCGAGGGTCTCACAATTCCCTTAAATCCCCCACACCTCCCTGAACCATGGGGTGCCCTCAGGACGCCCATGGCGGGGGGGTTTCCCCATTTCCTGAGAGCTCCACATCCTCTTGAGCTTTGGGGTGCCCTCAGGACTCTCATGGGGGTCTTTCCTCCTTCCCTTAAAGTCCCCCCACCCCTGTGAGCTATGGGGTTCTTTCAAGACTCCTGGGAAGGGTCTCCCCATCCCATAAGATCCCCACATCCCCCGAGAGCCCCACATCCCCTGAGCCAAGAGCTGCCCTCAGGACCCCCAGCGGGTCTCCCCTCGCCCTGATCAGGGGGTCCCAGCCCCGGCAGCCCCCCCAGACCTGAAGAAGCGGGCCTGGTGGGTGATGTTGTTCTCCTCCATGACGCGGCGCCGGTCGCGCTGCAGCTGCTCGATCTGGCGCTTCTGCGCCTCGGCCGCCGGCACGTTCCCCTCCTCCAGGTACCTGCGGGCACACGGGACAGGGCTGTGACCCCGGCCGGCCCCAGCGCGCCCAGCCCGGCCCCCGGGGCGCCGCTGACCGCTGGTCCGGCCGCAGGCGCGTGTCCGTGGAGGGCAGCACCCGGCGCAGCTCCGGCGTCAGCTCGTTCAGCTCCAGCGCGAACTGCGTGAAGCCGTAGCTCCTCTCGTGGTCACGGGGCATGGGGTCTGCGTGGGGGGCGCGGGGCGGTCAGAGAGCCCCCGGAGCGGGGGAACCCCCCCGGGCGTCCCCCCCAGGTCCTTACTGGCTTTCCAGACGCACTGGCCCGGGGCGGGCCCGCGGCGCAGCCCCTCGTGCCACTTGCCCGCCAGGCGCTCCACGGCCGTCCCGGCGCGGCTCAGCACGGCGCCCTGCACCTCGTTGGCCCCCGCGCCCCAGTACCGGGCCTGCGGCCACCGGGGCTCAGCCAGCGGGGCCTCAGGGGGCGGGGCCGGGAGCGGGGTCAGCGGGAAAGGGCGGGGCCGCTGGGAAGGGGTGGGGCTATGGGGAGAGGGCGTGGCTATGGTAGGGTGGGGTCATTGGCAAAAGGCGGGGCCACTGGGAAGGGGTGGGGCTAGTGGGAGATGGCGGGGCTAGGAGCAGGTGGGGCTATTGGGAAAAGGGTGGGGCCATGAGGAGGAATCTTCTGGAAAGAGTGGGGTAATTGGAAAGGGGCGTGGCCACTGGGAGAGGGTGTGGCTATTGGAAAAGGGAGGGGCAATGAGGCTTTGGGTGGCGGCTTCTAGAAAGGGCGGAGTCAATGGGAAAGGGTGGGGCTATGATGGGTGGGGTCATTTGGAAAGGGCGGGGCTACTGGGAAAAGGGTGGGGCCAGGAGAGTAATTGGCAGAGGGTGGGGCACTGGGAGGGCGGGGTCACTGGGGAAAGGGTGGGGCTATCAGGAAGGGGTGGAGCCATAAGTGAGGGGTGGGGCCAGACAAGGGGCGGGGCAACAACACAGTGTTTAATTACCAAGTCTGCAAAGGGGCGGAGCCACACCTGAGGGGGCGGGGCCAGGCCATGATAATGCAGAGGGGCGGGGTCAGGGCAGCGTGTGGGCGGAGCCGGGGCAGGAAGGGGCGGGGCACACCTTGCAGAAGGTGAGCTTGCAGTGGTAGGAGGCGTCGCGGGTGTTGCGGATCAGCACCTCCCCGTAGTGCTCGATCCAGCGGGGCCCGCTCAGCACGTTGTGGATGCACGTGGTCACCTTGTTCCACTCATAGTGGTCGCCGGTCCTGCGGGCAGCGCCCTCGTGGGTGGGCACGGGGGGCAGGGGGCACGGGGGCGGGGATGTGGGGGCGCCCATGTGGGGCTGGGGTCTCACCTGGGCAGCTGGACATTGACGGTGCCCATGGGGACGATCTCCAGGGATTTGCCCCAGAATTTGTTCTTCCACCTCATGTCTGGAGGAGGAGGAGGAGGAAGAGGAAGAGGAGGTGAGACCCCCCCAATCCCCCCGCCCTGGGGGGACCCTCCCAGTGCCCAACACCCTCCCGGACTCTCACCTTGCCAGAAGACAAAGTTGTCGGACTCGGCGTGGCAGGCGGAGATGGGAGGGTGGTGGGAGACCTGTGGGGACAAGGAGGGACGTGCCAGCGCCCCGCCCAGCCCCGCCCAGCCCGGGGTGCCCCCCAGGACCCCCTCCCCGTGCCCACCTGCTCGCTGATGAAGCGGAAGCCGCGGTCGGGCCGCACGCACTCGTAGGTCTCGCCCAGCACGGGGTTGAAGGGTTTGCTGCCCGCCCGGTAGTAGGTGGAGGCGTAGGCGGACACGGCAAAGGCGGCCACGTACACCTGTCACCATGTCACCGTGTCACCATGCCACCATGTCACCATGCCACCGTGCCACCATGTCACCGTGTCACCGTGCCACCATGTCACCGTGTCACCGTGTCACCATGCCACCATGTCACCGTGTCACCGTGCCACCATGTCACCGTGTCACCGTGCCACCGTGTCACCGTGTCACCGTGCCACCATGTCACCGTGTCACCGTGTCACCGTGTCACCGTGTCACCGTGTCACCGTGTCACCGTGCCACCATGGCCATCGCGACGCTGTCACCACGCCCGGCCCGGGCACACACCTGCCCTCCTCCATTCTCACAAGTCCCAGGAGACCCGTGTGTCCTCAAGCACCTCTGAGCCCACTGAATCCTCAAATTCTCCCCTGTTCCCCATGACTTTGGGGTCCCCCGTGTCCCCAAAATCCTCAAAGTCTCCTTGTTCCCACATAACCCCTGGTGTCCCCTCTGCCCCCGGTGTCCCCTTTGCCCCCCGGTGTCCCCTCTGCCCCCGGTGTCCCCGTTGCCCTCACCAGGCGCTGCCGGGGGTCGCGGGCGCGGCTGGCCCTGTCCAGCAGCTCGCTGTACTCCAGCTCCTCGCAGAGCCGCTGCAGGGTGTTCAGCGGCTCGTTCAGCTGCACGGGCAGCGCCACGCGGGACAGGTCCTTGCCCACGCTGCTCCGCAGGAGCCCCCACAGGCTCACGTCCCCCGAGGGCGCGGGGGGCGCGGGCAGGCGGCTCCTCCGCCGCGGGTCCGGCCCCGGCAGCTCCAGCGGCGGCTCCAGCGGCGGCGGCTCCGCCGGCAGCCCCGGGCGCTCCGCTCCTGCCGGGCAGCGGCCGGTGGCACGGAGAGCCCCAGTCCCCGGAGCTGTCCCTTCCCCCGTTCCCCCGTCCCGTGTTCCCCGTTCCCGTGTCGGGAGGCAGAGCTGCCTCCGCCTCGGTTCCCCCTTCCCGCACCTCCGCCGGTGCCGCTCCCCCCCCGGTGCCCTCCCCGGTGCCCTCCCCGGCGCTCCCCGCACCTGTCGGGGGGCGGCCCGGCCCCCCCGGCTCGGTGGGCTCCTCGCAGACGCTGGTGGTGACCTCGCTGATGCACGACTCGTCCTCCGAGGGCTGAGGAGGCGCAGGGACCGTCGGCGGCTTCGGGGGTCCCGGGGGGACGGGGGGGACCCCACGGAGGGGGCGGGGAGGGCGCTACCGGGAAGGGCCCCCCCGAAAGGGTGGGAGGAGGCCCGGGATCCTGGGATGGGGGTGTCGGGGTGGGGGGGGTGGGGGAGCAGCGGCGGGGGCAGCACCCGCCCCCCCCCCGGGGCTCAGAGACTGCGGAGACCCCGAGAGCGGGGAGAGAGGGGGGACCGGGGGGCTGGGGGGGACACCGGGAACGGGGGGGACCCGGGGGCTGGGGGGGACACCGGGAGCGGCTCTCGGGCCGCCTGATGAGGTGGGACGGGGGAGAGAGAGGGGACAGTTGAACCCAGAGCAGAGAGGGGTGGTGGGAGGGTCTGCAGAGCCCCCCATAGCAGAGCCCCCCATAGCAGAGCCCCCCAAGCCCCTCACCTCGTTCTCAGAGGAGCTGGCCGAGAGGAAAACCTCGCAGGCATCGAAGAACTCGGTGTGGGAGTCGGCCAGCGAGACGATGCTGCGGTTGGAGAGCTGCTGCTCACGGCCCTTGGTGGGCAGCGCGTCCGGCTGCGGGCACAGCCACCGGCTCAGCCCCGCGCCGGGGGCGCCACAGCAGCCCCAGACCTCCCCATCCACCGCCCTGACCTCATCCGGGTGCAGCGAGGCAAAGGAGTCCAGGGTGGTGTCGGAGGAGACGGACAGGGAGTGGAAGCGGCGCAGGGCGGGCTGTGGGAAGGGCGAGGCTGAGCAGAGCCCCCCGGCCGGTCCCCTCCAGCCAGGACAGGGCTGGCAGGGCCAGGGGACCCCCGGAGCAGCCCCCGAGGCCCCCGTGCCCCCTCACCCCGGCGGTGCCGGCGCTGCCGGGCCGTGGGGCCGGGCCCTGCCGGTCCAGCGCCCGCCGCATCTCCTCCAGCCGGGCCCTCTCGGCCACCAGCGCCGCCACCACGCTGCTCAGCGAGCCGTGCACTGCCGGGGCACACGGGGGGGTCAGGCTGAGCCCCGGCAGCCCAAAACCCGCCCCGGGACCCCCGCCCGGGCTCAGCCCCCGGCCCACCGCACCTTTCTGGGCCAGCACCCAGAAGCTGCGCTGCAGCTGGCTGTACTCCGGGGGCACGCTGAAGGGCAGCTGGCTCTGCGACGGCTCCAGGTAGCGCGACAGGTTGGGGACAGAGCCGTGCAGGCGGCCCACCTGGGGGGACACGGGGCTCAGGGGGCTCGCCCGGGGGGCTCCGTGCCCAGGCAGAGCTCGGGGTGGGGGCTCCAGCTCACCCTCACCCTGCCGATGGTGTCGTCCTTGGCGAAGCTCTGCGTGCACCAGATCTTGGTGCTCCTCCGGCCCTTCTTGGGCCTCTCCGTGGCAGCTGAGGGCTGTGAGGGACAGGAGGGGGCTGCAGCCAGGAAAGGGGGGCCCGGGACCCCCTCCCTCCCCCGGCTGTCCCTCTCACCTGGCCGCCGGAGATGAGCGGGGCCGAGGGGATGCGGTGCAGGGCCTCCAGGTGCTGGAGCATTCCCGTCAGCTCCTGCAGCTTGGCCTGGCACTCCGACAGCTCTGCCAGGGGCACGGGGGTCAGGGAGCGGCCACGGGGACCCTGCCCGGCCCCACACCCCCCTCGGGCCCCGCTCACCGGCCGAGCAGCGCTCCAGCCCCTCGCTGTCCTTCAGCCAGGCGCTCACCTTGTCCCGGGAGCTGGCCAGCGTGGACAGGGCAGGGGCGCTGCCCGAGGGCAGCATCCGCGTCCACTGGCCCTGCAGCGGGGCACAGAGGGCATTGATCGTGCCAGGAGCCGCCTGCCCAGGCCCTGCCTGGCGCTGTCAGCCCCAGCTGTCACCCACCTGCGTGCTGGCCCCCGGGGCACACGGCCCCGGCCGCTCGCCGTGGTGGTGGGAGCACAGGCTGCTGACCCAGCTGGAGAACACCTCCGGGGACTTGATCTGGGGACAGGGCCGGGTTGGAGGGGACACCACCCCATGTCCCCAACCCTGTCCCACCCCAGCTCCAGCCTCCCAGTGGCACCTTGAGGTGGTAAATGTTGTCCTCCGTGTCCAGGTCAACCCTCTGAGCCTTCTTGTTGACGGACATGACGGACTGACGGACATCGATGGCACCGTGCAGCTTGCCCTTGAGGACCTGGGGGAGCGCAGGGACGCCTGTCAGGGCACAGAGCCCCCTCCTCAGGGGGCCCACGGGGGTGTCCCCAGCCCTGAGCCCCCGGGGAGGCTGCGTGGCCACAGCCTGGGCACACACTCACGTCCTGGCGCGTGGTGGAATATTTCAGGATCCCGTTTTCCAGCACGAAGTACCGCTGGGGATGGAGGGCAAAGGTTTGTTCTGGGAGGGGGTGCAGGCAGCAGCCCCTAGAGCCAGCCCCCCCTGCCCAAATCCTGCAGGCCCAGACAGGATCAGGGCTCCTGGCGCCAGCTCTGCCCCTTACCTTGTGCCAGCCCTTCAGGGGCCATTTCCTCTTCTTGAGCAGGTACCCCTCGTGCCGCTGCGGCTGCTGCCCGGGGCTGCCCCGGGGCTCCTCCACCACCTCCCAGCTCTCCGAGCCCTGCGGGGACAGGGGTCAGCGCGGGGGTCCCTGAGCACCACAGGCTGCTGCCCACCTTGTCCCCAGGCAGGGACATTCGGTACCCACAGCCCCCAAAGCCTCCCTGCGCTCATTCCGAGCCCCCCAAATCCCGATGCAAACCCTCGGACCTGCTGCACGCTGCTGTGCTTGGAGGACACGGTGCTGTTGGAGCGGGACAGGGCCCTTTTCGGGGAGCACGGGTCCTTCTCGTGGCTGCCCATGGCCGTCGGCGCTGCGGGGCCGGGGCTCCAAGCTCGGCCGTCAGGGCGGGAGCCGCTGCGGGGAGGGCACGGCCGGTCAGGGAGCTCGGGGACGGCCCCCGCAGCCGCGCCGGGAGCGGGGAGGGCGGGGATGGCCCCGTCCCCAGCCCGCGGGGGGCTCTGCATGGCAGCGCCGCCGGCACCCGGAGACTCCTGCGAGAGCCGGAGCCTTTGACCCCGGCAGTGTTATCGCGGCTGTGCCACCCAGTCCGGGTCCAGAGTCCGGCCCCGCCGCCCCACGGGCCGGCGAGCACGGGGCCAGCCTGGCACAGCCCGGGGTGACACCGGTGCAAGGACCGGCCAGCCTGGCACAGCCCGGGGTGACACCGGGGCCAGCCTGGCACAGCCCGGGGGTGACACCGGGGCCAGCCTGGCACAGCCCGGGGCCAGCCTGGCACAGCCCGGGGTGACACCGGGGCCAGCCTGGCACAGCCCGGGGTGACACCGGGGCCAGCCTGGCACAGCCCGGGGGTGACACCGGGGCCAGCCTGGCACAGCCCGGGGCCAGCCTGGCACAGCCCGGGGTGACACCGGGGCCAGCCTGACACAGCCCGGGGATGACACCGGGGCCAGCCTGGCACAGCCCGGGGTGACACCGGTGCAAGGACCGGCACCGACCCCGGCTCCATCCGAGCCCTGCAAATCCCGGCGTGGCCCCGCGCCCTCCCGGCACGGCGTTTGTTCCCTTCGCCCTTCGCCATTCCAGAGGGGGAAACTGAGGCACGGGAAGCGTGTCCTGGCCTTGCCACCCCCCCCGGCGCTGTCCCTAACGGGGCATCCATGAGTCCCGGCCGCTGCTGTAGGATGGATCCCGGGATAACCCCGGGACAGCGGCCAAGCCCGGGCTCCGGTGAGCACCGTGCCGGTAACGGCGGCACCGTCACGGCCGTACCGATACGGTAACCACGGCACCGGCAGACAGCCACGCTGCCCCAGATAACCCGGCACCGGTAACGGCGGCTCCGAGGGGAGGCACCGGGGGTCTCCCGGCTCTGTCCCGCAGGTGCTGCCCGGGATCGGCACCGACCCCTCGCACCGGAGCGGGGCTGCGCCGGTAGCCCCGGGGCTCTCCATCCCCCGGCGGGGCAAAGCCCGTCCCGGCGTCCCCGCGCCGGTGTCACCGCCCGGGGCAGCGGGGCCCGGGGGTCGCGGGGCCGGCCGGACCCTCCCCCCGTGCCGGTGGCCGGTGCTCACCTGGGCGGGCGGCGGGCGGGCGGCGGGGGCCGAGCGCATCCTGCCCGGCGGCGGCGGCGGCAGGAAGCGGAACACGGAGGGCGGTCCGGAGCCGCTCGGCTCTGCCCCCTGCTCCGTGGAGGACCGGAGCCGCCAGCGCCGGCGGCCGCCGGGGCACCGGGAGCGCCCGCACGGAACCGGGGCAGCTCCGGAGCCCGGCCGAGAGCAGCCCCGGGGAAAGGGCGGGGAGAGGCAGCACCGGCGGGGGTCCCGGGGTTGGTCATCGTACGGGAATCCCGGGGTTTGTCATCGTACGGGAATCCCGGGGTTGGTCATCGTACGGGGGTCCCGGGGTTGGTCATCGTACGGGGGTCCCGGGGTTGGTCATCGTACGGGGGTCCCGGGGTTGGTCATCGTACGGGAATCCCGGGGTTGGTCATCGTACGGGAATCCCGGGGTTGGTCATCGTACGGGGGTCCCGGAATCACCGACCCGCGGGGGTCCCGGGATGGGTGTCCGAGGGTCTCAGGATCATCGTCCCTTGGGGACTGCCAACCCACGAGGGTCTCAGGGATCACTGACCCCACCGGCATCCCGGGAATCCCCAGCCCTCGGGGGTCTCAGGATCATCGTCCCGTGGGGGTCTTGGGGCTGATCATCCCATGGAAATCCCGGGAATCTCCACCCCGTGGGGATCCCGGGAATCCCTGACCCACGGGGGTGTCCGGGCCCACCCCTCCGAGGTGGTCCCAGGGCATTCCCACCCTGGGTTTGCCTCTCCCACCCCCAGCTCTTCTCCCTCAGCCCCCAGAGCAGCCCTGGCCTCTCCCCCCATCCTCGGGGGGCAGGACCACCCCTGACCCACCCCCAAAATCGCAGACAAGGCCTCGGCATCTCCACACAGAGACTTTAATGGGCAGGACAGGGAGCCCGGGCTGGGCTCAGTGTTACAGCCCCATCCCAAAGCCACGGGGCTGGGAGTGCCCAAATCCCCCCGGCAGGGTCCATCCCGCGCTCCTCCTCCTCTGGCTGCTCCCAGAGAGCCCCGATCACAGCTGGAAGGATCACAGCTGGAGCGATCACAGCTGGGACGATCACAGCTGGAGCGATCACAGCTGGAGCGATCACAGCTGGAACGATCACAGCTGGAGCAATCACAGCTGGAACAATCACAGCTGGAACGATCACAGCTGGAGCGATCACAGCTGGGACGATCACAGCTGGAGTGATCACAGCTGGAGCGATCACAGCTGGAGCGATCACAGCTGGGACGATCACAGCTGGAACGATCACAGCTGGAACGATCACAGCTGGAGCGATCACAGCTGGAACGATCACAGCTGGAGCGATCACAGCTGGAGTGATCACAGCTGGGACGATCACAGCTGGGACGATCACAGCTGGAACAATCACAGCTGGAGCGATCACAGCTGGAGCGATCACAGCTGGAGTGATCACAGCTGGAGCGATCACAGCTGGAGCGATCACAGCTGGGACGATCACAGCTGGAGCGATCACAGCTGGGGCGATCACAGCTGGAACGCTGCTGGGACGATCCCAAGGGAGCACAAGGGAACGGCCACGGCTCCCTGCAGGGCTGGGGGGGCAGCGGGACCCTCAGTGCCAAACCCCCAGCCCCTGACCCCGCTCTGTGGAGCTGCAGAATTCCATGGGAATTGTGTCCACCACCCTCCAGCCCCTCAGCCGGGGCGCTCCCCGTTTCCCGTGGCCAGGGCAGGAGCTGGTTCCCGGCTCCCAGTGTCAGTGGTTGCCGGGGCCCGGGGGAGGCTCCGCGGCTCCGCCCGCGCCCCGCAGCCGCCGGATGTGCTGCTCCAGCAGCGCCGTGAGGTGAGCGGGGCCGCGCTGGAGCAGGGAGCAGGTCTGCGAGGGCAGCAGGGACAGCGCTGCCACCGTCTGGCCCTGGGACACCTCCAGGGGCGGCAGCCGGGCCACGTTCTCCACCCCCTGCCGGCTCAGGATGGTGTCGTCGATGCAGGCGCCTGGAAAAGGGAGCCGCGGATGGAATCCCAGAGCCTCTGGGAGGGGCTGCTGGCTCCTGCGGGCTGCCCTGCCCCGTCTGCATGGATGCAGCTCCATCGGGGCCTCATTCCCAGCCCCGGGCCGGCATTCCCAGCCCTGATGAGCCTCCCGAGCCCTGGGCAGGCCCTCATTCCCAACCCTGGGCTCACATTCCCAGTCCTGGATGAGCCTCCCAAGCCCTGGATCCCCATTCCCATCCCCATTCCCCCATTCCCATCCCCATTCCCCCATTCCCATCCCCATTCCCAGCCCCGTTCCCCCATTCCCAGCCCCGTTCCCCCACTCCCAGCCCCGTGCCCCCAGCTCAGTGGCGTGGGGAGCAGGCCAGGCTCTCACCCAGCAGGTTGACCTGTGGCACCCCCTTGAGCACTCTCAGCATCTCCCTGGCCCGTGGCTCCGGGCTCACCAGCAGGATGTTCCGGCACACGAACAGCGGCAGCAGATTCCTGAGCTTGGACTGCGCCAGCACCGGCCGGGCCACCTGGGACAGAGCTCAGGGTGAGACCCGGGGCCACCGGGACAGCCTGGAACCACTGGGACACCCCCAGAGCCACCGGGACACCCCCAGAGCCAACGGGACACCCCCAGAGCCACCAGGATACCCCAGAGCCACCGGGACACCCCCAGAGCCACCAGGATACCCCTGGGATATCCCCAAACGACTGGGACACCCCCAGAGCCACCGGGACAGCCCAGAGCTACCAGGACAGCCTGGAACCACCGGGACACCCCCAGAGCCACCGGGACACCCCCAGAGCCACCGGGACAGCCCGGAACCACCAGGACACTCCCAGGATATCCCCAGGATACCCTCAGACCCACCAGGATACCCCCGGAACCCCCGGGCTACCCCCGGAACCCCCGCGAGGCCCAGCCCCACCTCGTTGAGCACGAACTTGACGTGGATGTCGTGGCGGCGCAGGAAGTGCCGCAGCGTGGCCACGTCCTCGTCGGCCATGGCGTTGAACTGGCACACGGCCACCATGCGGCTGGCACGCAGCGTGGCCTCCAGCTGGGCACGCAGCACGCGGGCATAGCCGTCCTCCTGGGGACACCAGACACGGCGGTGGGGACAGGGGGACGGCCCCGGTGTCACAGCACCGTGCGTACCCGTCCTCCTGGGGACGGGAGGGACCACTGGGGACAGGGAATGTGGGGACAGGGGACAGCCCCGGTGTCACAGCAGTGCCCATACCTGTCCTCCGGGAGACAGGGGACAGGGTGGGACCCCTGGTGTGATCCCGCAGCTGGAAGTGCTGGGGGGGGGATGGTCCCAGGGATTGTGAGGTGGTGCTGTGGGTTTTGGGGAGCTCTCACGGATCTCAAGGTTTTCTCATGGATCTCGATGTGATTCCATGGATCTTGAGGTGATCCCATGGATCTCAAAGTGTTCCCAGGGATCTTGAGGTGATCCCATGGATCTCAAAGTGTTCCCAGGGATCTCAAGGTGTTCCCAGGGATCTCAAAGTGGTCCCAGGGATCTCAGGGTGCCCCCCCAGATCTCAAGATCCCATTCATGGGGTCTCACCTGTTTCCCAGCCCCCCATCCCACCCCATGGGATTACACCCTTCCAGGAGCTCCAGCCGGGCTGTGTCCCCCACCCGTGCCCTCTCCCGCAGGAACCCCCCCCCCCAGACCCATCCCGTGCCATGCCATGCTGTGCCATCCCGTGCTGTGCCATCCCGTTCCGTACCTGCTGCTGGCGGGGCGCGGGGCGGGGCAGGCAGCGCGGGGGCAGGGGCGGGCCGCGGGGGCAGGTACTCGGTCAGGGCCAGCAGCTTCTGCCGCTGGAAGTGCATGGCCTTCCAGTGCCGCGTCACCGCCTTGGAGCCGCGCCGCAGCAGCTGCAGGGCGGGCAGCCAGGCTGCGGGGCAGCGCTCAGTATGGGCACCGATACCGGCACCAGGCAGCCAAGGGCTGTGGGGCAGCGCTCAGCACGGGTACCGATACCGGCACCGGGCAGCCAAGGGCTGCGGGGCAGCGCTCAGCACGGGTACCGGCACTGGGCTGCCTCGGCCCGGCCTCAGTCCTGGCCCCGGTTCCTGATCGTGCCCCAGACCCACTCGTGTTCTCGGTCTCTGTCCCCTCCCGTACCCTGGCCCAGGCACGTTCCCGCTCCCGTTCTCAGTCCCGTTCCAATTCCAAGCCCCTGCCCCAGTCCCGTTCCCAGTCCCATTCCCATTCCCATTCCAAGCCCCTGCCCCAATCCCGTTCCCAGTCCCATTCCCATTCCCATTCCAAGCCCCTGCCCCAATCCCGTTCCCAGTCCCATTCCCATTCCAAGCCCCTGCCCCAGTCCCGTTCCCATTCCAGGCCCCTGTTCCATCCCGTTCCCTTTCCCGGCCCCTGTCCCAGCCCCGTTCCCGTTCCCGTTCGTCTCTCACCCCGCCGCCATCGCGTCCCGCTACCACTGAGCGCCGCCATCTTGGTCGCGCCGGCGCAAGGGCCTATGGGAAGGTGGAGGATCCGTCACTTCCGGCGCGCCCGTCTCCATAGCAACGGCGTGACGCGGCCTAGGCGCGGCCTGGTTGCTCGGATACCCCTGGGATACCCCTGGACCGGGGGTCGCTGAACCCCCCAAAGTGAGGGACTGAGCCCCAAACCCGGGGAACCGCTCCCGGTGAGCCCCCCTGCCCCTTCCGAGGCTCTCTGAGCCCCAAACCCGCGGTACCCGCTCCCGCTGAGCTGCCGTGGCTCCATCTCAGGGGTCTGTAAGAGCCCCCGTCCAGTGGGGCCTGGTCCCGGGGACCCCCCGGCCCCATCCCTGGGGGTCTCTGAGATCCCCAGACCGGGGCTCCCGGTCCCACTGATTCCTGCAGTGCCATAATCGCCCTGGGTACAGAGCCCCTCTGCCCACCGTGGGGTCCCAGCCCTGACCCCACCCCAGCAATCCTTTCCCCACTGACATCCCCAACCCACAGGATTGTTCAGAACCCTCTGTTCCCTCAGACGCTGCTCCTCCATCACCCCTGAGTGGGGACAAGGACCCCCAGGCCACCCCGCCATGGCTGAGCAAGGGGACGCCCTTTGTGGGGGTGAGTGAGGCACTGGGGGGCTCCTCCCGGGCAGGAGGGGCTGCCCCTGCCCTGGACCCCCTCTCTGAATCCCCACAGCCCCCGAGGAGCCGTCCCCAGGAGTGACCCTCAGCGACAGCCTCATCATGGCCCACACCCGGTGAGGATCCCCCAGAGCCCCCCTGGGCTGGCAGGGAGGGGGCTCAGGGCACCCCAAAACCCCCCCTGTGCCCCCTTTAGCTCCACGGGGCCGCTGCCCACTGGCACCGTCCGCTTGGACCGGGAGAACATCTCCTGCATCGGAAAAACCCGGGGGCAGGAAAGGATCCACAGCCTCTACCTGCAGCAGGTACGGAGCTGGGGGGGCAGAGACAGCCCAGGCCTGACACCCCCAGTCCTGATCCCGGGGGCACCCCCAGTCCTGATCCCACAGACACCCCAGTCCTGATCCCGGGGGCACCCCCAGTTCTGCTCCTGTTTTCCCTCCCCAATATCCAGAAGGGAACAGTTTCCCCCCACCCTTGAGGGTTTGTTCCAGTGACCCCCCCAGTCCCCCCACAGGGGTCTCTGAGCCTCCCCCCATTCCAACCCCCTGGAATTCCGGCATTCCCAAACCCACACAGGATAACTCAGCTCAGGGCCCTGGATTTTGGGATGTCTCCGTGTCCTCCCACCCCATTCCCTCCCCAGAATCTCCCGTGTTGCCCCCAGGATTGGTTGGAGCAATCCCAGCGCATCCCCAAAATGTGAATTTTCACTCAGCAGGCAAAAAAAAAAAAACAAAAAAAAACCAAAACAACAACAACAACAACAAAAACACGTTGGGTTTTTTTTTTTTCTATTTTATTTTCCAGAACCAAATTGAGAAGATGGAGAATCTGGAGTGTTTTCCCAACCTGAGGTACCTGAGGAGGGCTGGGGAAGGGGACCGGGTGTCCCCAGGGGGCTGTGACACCCCCCTGCCCTCCTGAGCCCTGCAGGTTCCTGTGCCTGGCTGGGAACCGCATCCAGAGGGTGCAGAACCTGCAGGGGCTGTCCCAGCTGAGCCTCCTGGACCTGTCCCACAACCTGATCCAGGTGCTGGACACAGGTGGGAGCAGGGACCCCTCCAGGGGCGTCCTCAATCCCATTCCCACCCTCCTGCCTCAGTTTCCCCGGCTGTGGGGGTGCAGTGCTGCTTTGGGGGGGGGGTTTGGGGAGCAGGGATTTTGGCTCCCAGCTCAGCCCCCTGTGCTTTCCCTGTTCCATCCTGGCAGAGGAGCTGCCCCGCAGCCTCCGGATCCTGGACCTGGCCGGGAACCAGTGCACCCAGCAGGAGGGGTACAGGTGGGGCAGGAGGGGAGAAACAGCGCCCCAAAACCCGGGAGGAGCCTCGGGGGGACCTGACTGTGGCCTTCCAGCACTTGCCTGAGAGCTGGGAAAGGATTCTGGGCAAAAGGGGAATGGATTCACATCGCCAGAGGGGATTGGGGAAGGAATTCCTGGCTGGGATGGGACTCCCAGAGGAGCCGTGGCTGCTCCTGGATCCCTGGCAGTGCCCCAGGACAGTTTGGATGGTGGGATGTGTCCCTGGGTGGAACTGGATGGGGTTTAAGGTCCCTTCCCACCCAAACCATTCCATGGAATATCAAACACAGCCTGGCCCTCCACACCCCAGGGATTGAATCCCTGCTCAAACCCCAGGGATTGAATCCCTGCTAAAACCCCAGGGATGTGAATCCCTGCTGAAACCCCAGGGATGTGAATCCCTGCTCAAACCCCAGGGATTGAATCCCTGCTCAAACCCTAGGGATGTGAATCCCTGCTCAAACCCTAGGGATGTGAATCCCTGCTCAAACCCTAGGGATGTGAATCCCTGCTCAAACCCTAGGGATGTGAATCCCTGCTCTCCACACCCCAGGGATTGAATCCCTGCTCTCCATCTCAGGGATTGAATCCCTGCTCTCCAAAGCCCAAGGATTTGAATCCCTGCTCTCCAAACCCCAAGGATTTGAATCTCTCCTCTCCCCCCTCAGGCTCTGGTGGGCTGAGGGAGGATGGGACCCCCACTCCCAATCCCACAGCTGCAGAAAATTCGGCTTTTCCTCCCTTTTCCTCCCATTTCCGCACAGGGATGGGGTGCTGGCAGCGCTGCCCCAGCTCCTGCAGCTGGATTCCCAGCCCGTGCAGGGAAGCGCGGCCGAGGAGGAGGAAGGAGGAGGCTCCTGCAGCAGCGAGGAGGAGGAGGAGGAGGAGGAGGAGCTGCTCCCGGTGCTCCGGGCTCCCTTCACGGTGGACAGAGGTGCCGGGGGGGAGCACGGGACACGCGGCAGGGCCCGGGGCCGGCAGTGCCGCGCTCTCTGCAGCTGCCGTCGCTCCGGGCAGGTTTCCTCGGGGACGTGCGCCGGGAGCTGGCGGGGCGGGCGCGGCTGCGGCGCGCCCTGAGCCTGGAGGAGCACCGGGCCCGGCTGCAGGAGCTGCGGGAGCGCCGGGCGCTGCTGCTGGGCCCGGGGCAGGGCGGGACAGCCCGGCTGTGTCCCCAGCCCTGTCCCCAGGGGCACCCGGGGCCACCGCCGCCACCTCTGCCGGCATCCAGCGGGTGCAGCCAGCCCCCAGGCGAGGCCCTGCAGATGGAGACCCGTGCCAGCGGAGCAGAGAATGGGCAGTTATCCCAAATACCCTGAATAAAGGCTTTATTCCACCCCAGTCCAGCCTGGTGCCACCCTGAGGGGCTGGAAAATGGGGAAAGCATTGGGCAGGACCCCCAGTCCCATATCCCATACCCCATACCCCATATCCCATATCCCATATCCCATATCCCATATCCCATACCCCATATCCCATATCCCATATCCTATACCCCATATCCCATATCCCATATCCCTGCCCTTCCCCTTGCACCCCATTCCAGCCTGAGCCCACCTCCAGGGCAAGCTGGGGGCTGGGAGTCAGGAAGAGTCCGGGTCGGGCTCTGGGAATGTTTTGTGATTCCCTGTCCATGACAAACGCCGTGGGGAGGCTGAGCCCACCCACCTGTGTGGGGTTCAGGTGTAAAACTTCATCTCGGCCTCCACGCAGTCGAAGAAGAGGTCGGCCAGCTCCTGGGGGCTGGGGCTCACGGTGCCCTGCAGCAGCTCCCGCATGCCCTGCAGGCCCTGCAGCTCCAGCTCCTGCAGCGTCCCCAGGAGCTGCCGGCCCCGCTCCTGCAGGATCAGGGACGGGTCAGGGAGACCAGGCAGTCCGGAATGGGATCAGAGAGCTCAGAGCTTGATCCCATTGCAGGGTGGGGAGGGGTCTGTGAGGGCTGCAGGGTCTGAGAGGTCTGTGGGGTCTGTGGGATCTGCAGGGTCTGTGGGCTCTGTGGCCTCTGCAGGGTCTGCAGGGTCTGTGGGATCTGTAGGATCTGTGGGATCTGCAGGGTCTGCGGGATCTGTGGGATCTGCAGGGTCTGTGGGATCTGTGGGATCTGTGGGCTCTGTAGGATCCATGGGGTGTGCTACAGTACCCGGTCCCGCTCCATGAGCTCCAGCGCCGCCTGGTGCCGCCGGTAGAGCTCGTGCCGCCGATCCACGGAGCTCCGGAACCGCGGGATCTGCCGGGCCGGGTCCTGAGGGAAGCTCGGGGATCGCACCTGCGGCGCCGCCTTGATGCCGGCCACGAACACGAAGGGCTTGAAGACAGAGCTGGGGGAGGAGCCGGGATGAGAGAGCAGAACCCGAGCCGGGATGGGAGAGCAGAACCCGAGCTGGGATGGGAGAGCAGAACCCGAGCCGGGATGAGAGAGCAGAACCCGAGCCGGGGTGAGAGAGCAGAACCCGAGCCGGGGTGAGAGAGCAGAACCCGTGCTGGGATGGGAGAGCAGAACCCGAGCCGGGATGGGAGAGCAGAACCCGAGCCGGGATGGGAGAGCAGAACCCGAGCCGGGATGAGAGAGCAGAACCCGAGCCCGGCCGAGCCTCACCGGGAGGGGTCGGGGGTGCCGGTGAGGAAGTGCACGCAGGGCAGGGCGGGGTCGCGGGGCAGCACGGACACCATGCTGCCCGCCGTGCGGAACCCCTCGCTGTCCACGCAGATCCCGCTGGCCTTGTCCCGCAGGATGGACATCAGCGTCTCCTCCGTGATGTGACCTGCAGGGACACCAGGGCCACCTCAGCACCGCCAGCCTGGCCGTGGGCAGTGGGGAGGCACCAGGGAGAGGTGTGGGGTGGCTCTGGGGACACACCGGGGTGAGGTGTGGGTGGCTCTGGGGACGCACTGGGGCGAGGTGTGGGTGACTGTCCCCATGCCAGGCCCTGTCCCCAGGAACTGTGGCTGTGCCAGCACAGGAGCAGCCTTTGGTGAGCCATGGGTGGCCATCCCTGTCCCCATCCCTGTCCCCACCTGAGCGCTGCCACAGGAGCTCCTTGCCAGCGTGGAAGCAGCCCTTGGGGAGCCATGGACGAGTATCCCCATCCCCGTCCCTGTCCTGTCCCTATCCCTGTCCTCATCCCCATTCCTGTTCTCATTCTTCTTGTCCCAATCCTGTCCCCATCCCTGTCCCTGTCCTACCCCCCTTCCTGTCTCTATCATGTTCCTATCCCTGTCCCTGTCCTGTTTCCATCCCCATCCCTGTCCTTATCCTGTTCTTGTCCTGTCCCCATCCCATCCCCATCCCCATCCCCATCCCCATCCCATCCCTGTCCCACACTGTCCCCGCCCTGTCCCCATCCCATCCCTGTCCCAGGCTGTCCCCAGCCCGTCCCTGCCCTGTCCCCACCTGCGTGCCGCTGCAGCAGCTCCCTGCCCGCTCTCAGCCGTGCCTTGGCAGCCTCCATGCGCGGGGGCTCTTTCTCCAGGGAGAACGCCCGTGCGAAGCTGAACTCGCCATGCCCGCTCCACCAGCCCTGGCTCCGTGCCCGCTCCCGCAGCCCCGCGTGCTCGGCCGTGATCTCGCTGCCGATGCTCAGCTGGTTGGAGATGTTGCGGCTGCCCTCTGTGCCAGCCGGACCCGGGGGTCACTCGGGGCGCTGCGGGACCCCCCGGTGCCCCCCGTGCCCCCCGGTGCCCCCCGTGCCCCCCGTGCCCCCGGTCCCCGCTCACCGCGGATCCGCTGCGCTGCCCAGTAGCGCCCCGCGGTCTCCAGCAGCCAGGCCTCGTTGCGGTCGGCCAGCAGGAAGGTGTTGTGGTACACGAAGGGCTCCGGCTCCTCCTTGCAGCTCCCGCCCTGCCCGTGGCGCTCCAGCAGGGCCGTCATCACCTCCAGGGCCTCCCGGGCAGAGCTGCCACGCTCCAGACCCAGCCTGTGCCAGCAGGGCCCGTCAGGCAGAGCCAGGGGCTGGGCACGGGGCTGTCCTCATCATCCTCATCATCCTAACCATCCTCACCATCCTCACCATGGGGACATGGGGACACGGGGCTGTCCTCACCATCCTCACCATCCTCATCATCCTCACCATGGGGACATGGGGACGTCCTCACCAACCTCACCATCCTCACCACCCTCACCATCCTCACCTTCCTCACCACCCTCACCCTCCTCACCTCACCAGGTCCATGCCCAGCAGCGCCTCGGCCTCGCCCAGGGGCTCTCGGGTCCACACGCCCTCGTTGCCCACGCAGACCCCGCAGTCGTTGGCGCCCATCTCGGCCCCCCAGAGCCAGGCGGGGCGGCTCAGCACCACGGCGTGCGTGTGCTCTGCCTGCTCGATCTGCAGGTACGTGCACTGCGGGGACACGGGGGACACCGGGCATGGCCAGTGCTCTCAGCCACCCTGGCACACGGGGGTGGCACCTGGCAGCCACCCTGGCACACAGGGGTGGCACCGGGCATGATCAGTGCTCTGTCCCTGCGGGGACACACTCGGGTGAGCTGGCACCTGACCCCTGCAGCCCCTTTGGCCCCAGCACGGTCTCACCTGGACTTTGTCCCCAGGCCGGTGGGTGGCAGCGGGGACATAGACGATCTCCTGCACCTCGTCCCGGGGCCGATCGGCGTTCTTGGCGAAGATGACGGCGGGGGACGCCGTGTGCGGGGGCATGGCCACGAAGCAGTCGCAGGACGAGGGCACCGGGCCGTGCCCCGCCATCCTAAACCGGGTCAGGGCGGGCACCGAGGCGATGTCAACCCCCGGTCCCTGCCCCGGATGTGTCCCCGGGGTCCCTTTGGGGCTGGGCATGGAGGGGCTGCCGTGGTCCCTGAAACTTGGGGGACATCAGGGACCCCATGGCGGGGTGACCCGGGGGGCACCCCCCGCCCCGGGACCCCGCAGCTCCGCTCCGACCGGAGCCACCCCCCTCGCAGCCCCGGTTACCGGGACCCCCCAGCACCGACCGCGGACGGGACCCCCTCCCTCCCAGCGCCGGTAACCGGGACCCCGCGGGGGCCTCCCGTCCCCACGAACCTGCCGCTGCTTCCGCAGCTCCGCCGCTGCCCGGACCCGCCCCGGCCCGCCCTGTCCGGCCCCGGCCCGCCCTGTCCAGCCCCGGCCGTGCGACGGCGGCGCCCGGTGGCCGGAGGCCGCACGGCGGCAGCGGCGGGGACCGGCACCGGCACCGGCACCGGCACCGGGACCGGGACCCGCGTGGGTCGGGGGCTGCGGGTCCCAAAGGAGCCCGGGGACGGGGGTCCCAATTTTCCTCCCGTGGGGCAGGGACGGTGCTGGGGGTTCCCGTGGGCAGCGCCGGCGTGGGCAGCGCCCGGCCCGCGGGGGGACCCTGCCCGCCCGGCCGGCCCGGGGGGCGCAGGATGGGACCCGCAGGGGGGGCTCGGCTGAGTCGCCCCCAGAGCCCGCAGCTCCCGGGATCCCCGTGCTGAGAAGCCTTGGAGAGCCGAGGCTGGGCTGGGGGACCCTGAGCCCCTCGGGGGGGAGGGTTTGGGGTCGGGATCCCAGACCCCTGAGTCTCTTAGGCGGGGCTGATTTGGGGTCGGAATTCCGGACCCCTGGATCCCTTGGAATGAATGATTTAGGGTCAGGATGCCGTACCCTGAGCCCCTTGGCAGGGCTGATTTGGGGTCGAGTTGCCAAACCCCTGAATCATTTGACAGGGCTGATTTGGGGTCGGGGTGCCTGAGCCCCTCGGCAGGGCTGATTCGGGGTGCGGGTGCGGGACCCCCGCGTCCTTGGGCAGGGATGGAGCCGGAGAGCCGGAGCGTGGAAAACACGAGGCGTTTATTCCAGTACAAAACCCAAACCCCGCAGTCCCGCAGCCTCTTCACAGCACAAACGCTCCCCTCGCCGGGCCGGGGGCACCCCCGGGGCCGCCCCGCTCCGTCCCCCGCAGCCGCCCCCAGCCCGGGGCCCCGCCGGGCCGGTCCCTCCCTGCCCCGGGGGCGGGCGGGGGACGCGGCGGTTCGGGGCGCGGGGCCGGGATCCCCACGCCGCAGCAGGCTGGACTGGTTTCCCGGCCGCCGTCCCTCCCCACCCGGTTTTACAGCCTTCATTGCCCCATCGCGGCAGGCAGAGCCCCGGGGCTGCGGGGGCTGAGCGCACCTGGGGGGGCTGAGCTCACTTGGGGGGCCTGAGCTCACCTGGGGGGGGGGCTGAGCTCACCTGGGGGGGCTGAGCGCACCTGGGGGATGCTGAGCTCACCTGGGGGATGCTGAGCGCCCCTGGGCCCCCCCGCAGCCCCCCAGGCTGGATCAGCTCGCTGAGGCTGAACCCCGAGTGCCGGCGTGGCCGTGGGACCTCCCCAGCCCAGGCGTGGGGTGCCCCTGGTGCAGCCCCCCCCAATCTGGCCCCAAAAGGCCGGAGCCCCCCCCCCCCCCAGGTGCTGCTGGAGCCGGGCTCGGCCGCTCAAGTCCCGTTGGTGCCGCTCTGAGGGACATTGGGGAGGGTCCAGAGCCCCCCCAGGGTCCCTTTGGGAGGTGAAATCCCATCTGGGGGACCCCGAGGGGGGGAATTTTGTGCTGGAAAAGGCAAATTCCGGAGTCGGGGACGTCCTTCGAGAGCTGGGAGAGCCCAGGTCACCCGAGTCCTGCAGGGGGACAGCGGTGGCCGGGCTGGGGACACGTCCTGGGGCCCCCCCAGCGAGACTTCACCTCGTGCTGGGGGTCCCAGCCCCAGGGCTCGCCCCGCCCGCTGCTGCAGCCCCTGCGCAGCCCTGGGGACGGGGACAGCGGTGGGGACAGGGATGGGACCCTTGGAGGGGCCCGAGCCCTCCCCATCCGCACAGCCCACGGCCACAGCTCCGGCCCGGGACCTCCGCTCTGCCCGAGCGGCAAAGCCTGGCTTCACCTTAATAAAATAATAATAATTAATAATTAATAATAATTAATAATTAATAATTAATAATAATAATAAAACACTCAAAACCGAAGGCCTTGGGGCGCCCTCTGGGCACGGACCCCACTCGACTTCACCTCTACCCCTTCCCCCCCTGACCTCGGGGTGCTCCGAGCCTGGGCAGCCCCTGGCACGGCCCCCCCAGAACCCCAGGAGGGGCCAGGCCGGGGCTCAGCGCCCCCCAAACCTCCCCCCCTCCCCGGATTCCCAACTGGTTCGAGCTGGTGTTGGCTGGGGGGCAGCGCCGGGGGGACCCCGGGTGCCTGGAGCAGCCAGCGAACCCCCACCCCCCCAAACCCCCCTCCCCAGGTCCCGCTTCAGCTTCTCCTTCTGTGTCCGAGGGGTTCTGCCAAAATCGGGGTGTAAGACCCCAAAAGATCTAAAAACCGAGATTCACGGACCCCCAGCCAGGGGTGAGGGACAGATACGGGGTGCCCCGGGGACAGGGGGTGTCCCCAGGGGAGGAAAACTACGGGGTCCCTGGTGGGGGAAGGCCCGGGGGTCCCGGGAGGGAAGGGGCAGCATGCAGGGGCCAGGCAGAATTCCCTGGAGCTACGGGATCCCGGGGAGGGACGGCTACGGGCCACAGGGGACGGGCAGCATGCACGGAGGGGACGCGGGGTCCCCGGGAGGGGCGGGGGGCGCGGGCAGGCGGCCCGGGGCGGGGGTGCCCGCAGGGAGGGGCGGGGGTCGCGGGCGGCAGCGCGGCCGTGCCAGGCCGGAGGAATGCGGCCGCCCCGGCTCTCCCGGGCCCGCGGCCGCCCCGGTGCTTCCCGCGGCGGTGGGTGTGGGAAAGCTGCAGGTGTGCGCTCGGGCCACCGCCCGCCGCGGCCCCCGCGGCCCCCCGAGCTCCCCACGGCTCACACTCGCGCAGGAATTCTCTTTCTTTTTTTTGGTTTCCTTTTTTCTCCATTTGAGCCCCGATTCGGGCCAAAAATGGGTTTCGCATGCTCGAGCCCCACAGCCAAAGCGGGGCTGCAAGGGCGGGGGACCCCCGCCGGCTCAGCGGCCCCAGCTGGGGCCGGGGATGTCGCCGAACCCCCGCGTGTCGCCCGTGGGTGGCTGCGCCAACGCCTCGCGGGCGACGGGAGAGCGGGGCTGGCACGGCTGGGGCTGAGCCCGGGGTGCCGCAGCTCGGAGGGGACCGTGGGGAGGGCCCGGGGGGCTGCGGCCGCCCCCCGCCCCGAGCGGAGGCTCCCGGGTTCCTCCTCTCCTCTCCTCTCTCCCTTTCTCCTTCTCCTTCCTCCCCTTTGGGCTGGACGTGCCCGGGCAGCTCCCGCTCCTTCGGCTGCCATTGATGTTCCTCCCAAACAGCCCCGCCGCCTGCCAGCAGCCTCCCGAAAAAAAAGATTTGGGAAGCCGGGGGAGGATGAGTGCGGGGGGGAGGGAGAGAGGCAGGGAGGGAGAAGCGGGGCGGGAGAGCGGCAGCGGCACAAGTGAAACCGCCGCGGGGCAGCTCCGGCTGCGGCGCTCCCCAACGCCGCGCCGGGGCCGGGGCCGCGCCACCAGCGCCGTCCCCGCGCTCGCCGCCGCCGCTCCCGGCACAAGGAGCCAGCCCTGCGCCCCCCCCCGCCCCGAGCCCCTCCGGAGACCGGCCCCGAGGGCTGCCCCGGCCCCCGCCCCGCCTCGGGGCTCAGCGGCTCAGTTTGTGGGGGCGGCCGTGCCCCCCTCCGGCTCCCTCTTGCCTCCCTTGGCGGCCGCCGCGTCCCCGGCGCCTTTGCCCTCGGGCTCGGGCCCGTCCTTGCCCCCGTCGTGCGTCTTCATGTGCTTGCCCAGGTGGTCGCTGCGCATGAAGACGCGGCCGCAGACGGGGCAGGAGAATTTCTTGGCGCCCGTGTGGGTCTGGAGGTGCCGCTGCAGCTCGTCGGAGCGGGTGAAGCGCTTGCCGCAGAAGAGCCAGTTGCACACGAAGGGCCGGTCGCCGCTGTGCCAGCGCAGGTGGGCTTTCAGGTGCGAGGTCTTGGCGTAGGCCTTGCCGCAGCCCGGGATGTGGCAGTTGTGCAGGTGCTTGCGCTTGGCCCCCTCGGGGCAGGGGCCGCCCCGCTCGGCCTCCTGGCAGTTGGGGCAGCGGCAGGCGGCCTGCCCCCCGCCCCGGGGCACGGCCCGCCGGGCCCCCTTGGGCCGCCCCCCGCCCTCGCCCTCCGCGCCCCGCGGCTCCGGGGGCCCCTCCAGCGCCTTCACCCCCTCGGCCGCCAGCAGGTGCTGCGCGGGCGGGGGCAGCAGGTGGGCGGGGGGCGCGCAGAGCTGGTGCTCGGCCCCGCCGTAGCCGCCCAGCCCCGCGGGCAGCCCGGGGTGCGCGGGCACCGGCAGCCCCGCGCCCTGCCCCGGCGGCAGCTCCATCCAGCTGGCCCCGGCGTGCAGCTCCCACCAGTTGACGCCTCCGCCCTCCTCGCCGGGGGCTCCGGGGTGCGGGGGCCGAAACCAGGGCTCGTAGGGATGCGCCATGTCCGGGGCGGCCGGCAGCAGCTTGGCGTAGGCTCCGGGCGCGGCGGGGCCGTCGGGGGGCAGCTCTAACCTCGGGGGGCCATGGGGCTCGTAGGCGGCGGCGGCGGCGGCGGCGAACGCGGCGTCCTCGGGCCCCGGCAGCGGCAGCTCGGGCGGCGGCAGCGGCGAGGCGAAGTCGGGGGCGCCCGGCGCGGCGGGGCCGTGCGGCTGGAAGGGCTGCAGCGGCTGCAGGTCCAGGTGGGTCGGGGAGGCGCGGGGCGCGTCCGAGGGCTGCGATCCCAGGGAGCCGCAGACCGCCGTCAGCATCGCGGGGCGGCGCGCACGGACCTGCGGGGCCAAGCGGGGCGGGCGGGGAGGGGGGAGAGGAGCTGTGAGAGGAGGAGGGGGCGCAGCTCCGCGCCCCCCGACCCCGCGCGCACCGGAACCGGCACCGGCACCGGCAGCCGCGGCCTGGGAGTAGCTGAGCCCCCACCGAGGGGGTTGCGCCGCTCTGCGACACCGCTGTGACACCGGGATGGTGGCACCAGCCGGGGGGGGCACCCCTCACACCCGTCCCCGCCCCCTGTGCCAGCCCCTGGTGCCGCTCGGTCACGTCTGCAGCCCGGAGGGGTCGGTGCCTAATTCCAAAATCCGAGGAAGCCTCCAGCATCTGCTCGGGCTCCTCCCCGACTGTGTCCCCCAACACCGCCCGGGTCCCCAAGGGGACGGAGGTGGCATCCCCAAACCCATGGCGGGGACACGCGAGGCCAACCTGTCTCTGCCGCGTCCCAGCCGGGCTGGGAAAGCCTCGCCCCCGCCGCTGCCGCCCCGAGGCCAGGCCCAGCTGGGAGCCCTGGGGCTGCTTTTGGGGGGCTGCCCCCCCGGGCCGGCCGGCAGCGGGAGGAGGCAGCGCAGCCCCGGGCCGAGCCCCCGGCAGCGCTTTGAAGCCAGGCCCGGGACAGCTTCGCCCGCACCCCCGGGGCACCCCCGGGGCAGCGGCGGCGCCCCCAGACCCCCGGGCAGCCGCAGCCTCCAGCAGGGCGGCCGTGACTCAGCGGGAGCTGCGCAAACCCCACGGGGCCGGGGACGGGCCCCACCCCGGTGTCGAAATCCACCTGCCGGCACCGGCTCCCGCCCCCCGGCACCGGCTCCCGCCCCCCCCGGCACCGGCTCCCGCCCCCCGCCTTCCCAGCGGCGCCGCCGTGAGGGGCGGCCGGGACCCCCCCACTCCCACCGGCCGCTCTCGTCACCATCCCCGTGTCCCGGCCACCCCTGGGGCCCGCGGGGGACAGGGATGGACCCTCATGGACACGGACAGGCCCTCGGGGACACGGACAGAGCCTTGGGGACAGGGTCAGACCCTCAGGGATACAGACAGAGCCTCAAGGACACGGACAGACACTCGGGGACAGGGACAAACCCTTGGGGACAGGGACGGACACTCAGGGACACAGACAGAGCCTCGGGGACAGGGACGGACCCTTGGGGACAGGGACGGACCCTCGGGAACAGGGACAGAGCCTTGGGGACACAGACAGGCCCTTGGAGACACTGACAGACCCTCAGGGACAGGGACAGACCCCTGGGGACAGGGACAAATGTCCCTGCTTGGGGGGTGCTGGAAGATTTGGGGTGGGGGATCCCCCGAACGGCCCCCGGTGCCCCCCAATGCCCACGCTGTGATTCCAGGGTCCCCACAGTGCTGGAGACCCCTCAGCCGCGTGGGGACCCCGTTTTCCCCCTGCCAGGCGTCACCCGGGCAGGCAGGGGGACCCCAAAGATCGGGGTGGGAGTTTGGGGGGGTCCCAAAATCCCCCCGACGGGACCCGCCCGTACCTGTACTGCCGACACAGGTGGGGCTCGGCCCCCAGGTTGGGGGCAGGATGAGCCCTCCGGGGTGGCAGCTGAGCAGATTTTGGGGTCCTGCTGGCCCGTGGGGGCGCGGCTCTGCCCACCCCAGCCCTGGGGACTGTCCTGGGCTCGGGGGGGGCTGGCACTGCCGGCTCCATCGCCGCCTCAGGGGGTCCTGAGCCCGCCGACCCTGATCCCCACGAGCTCCGAATTGGGCTCAAAGCCACGAAGTGCGGGGCCCTCGCGGCCTTTCGGGTGCTGGCACGGATGGGACCCCCAGGTCTGGGGGACATCCCCCAGCCCCCCAAACCCCCGCGGGACGGGAGGGACCCTCCGGGCGCTCCGGGGCCGCTCCAACCCCGCGGGATCCAGGACGGGGCTCTCCTGGGACACCCCAATCCCAGCGATCCCGCCTGGCTCGGGGGTCCCACCGACCCCACCGTGACCAGCGGCACCGGACCCCATCGCAGCCCCCAAAGGCGGGAAAGGGCCGCGACCGGGATGGGGGAGCGCTGGGAGCACCCCCCTGCACGGGCCTGTCCCGGCCGCGCACGGAGCCTCCCAGGACATTTTTCCATCCGGGAATGATGACAAAAATCCCCAGGGGCCCCCAGCGTCCTCCCTCCCTCCCTGGCGGGGCTCAGCGACGCGTTGGCCATTTCACCGCAGGGAAACTGAGGCAGCGGCGGCTGAAGCGTCCCGTGAGTCACGGCCCGGGCTGGGCACAGGCGGCCCGGCCCCGTCTCCCGGCTCCGCCGGTGCCTCGCCCCGCGGCGGGGCCGGGCGGGCGCCGCTGCCCCCAGCACCGGCAGCCCCGACGGGGGGCACGGGGGCGGCGGCGGGGCCGGGCTCGGGGGATGCCGCGGCTCTGGGGGCGGTGCCGCGGGTCCCGGGGGATGCCCGGGTGCCGGGGGGCGCGGTGGGATCGGGACCGTCCCCCCCGAGCCGCGGCGGAGCTCCCGGGGGGTTTCGGGAGGGGAGCGCGGCCGCAGCGGTGGCGGCGGGGGGGTCCAGCCCGTGCAGCCCCCGCAGGACTCGGCACCGCGCGAGGGTCTCGGAGCCACGGGAAGAGCGGCGGCCGCGAGGGGCGGGGGTCGCGCCGGAGATCGGAGGGAGGGGACGCAGCGCGGGGTCCCGGGAGGCGGCGGGGCCGGGAGCGCCGCGCTCGGGGGCCAGCGGGGACTCGGCGGGGCCGGAGCGGCCGCGTCCCCGCCGTGGGTCAGGGCGGCCGCGTCCCCGGGAGCACCCCGAGGGTCCCTGGGACCATGGCGAGGTCCCCGCGGCACCGGGGGTACGTACGGCTCTAGCGGCGGCTCGGTCCCGGCGGCTCCGTCCTCATGGGCGCGGGCGCTGCTTCCCGAGGGGACCCCGAGGGACCCGCGCGGCTCCCCAGGGACGGGGCACCCACTGGGCCGGGCGAGCAGGAATGGCCGGGTCCCAGCCCGGCCGCCGGCTCTTCCCTCCGCCCCCCCGCCCAGCTCCACCCCCGGCCCGGTGATTTTAACCCTTGGAGGCAGAGCCGCAGCCCCGGCGCTTGACAGGAGCCGGCTCCGGTCTCAGGATCCGGCGGATGAAAGCGGAGGGAGGGGACGGGAAGTTCGCAGCAGACACCGCAAACAGGGGGGTAATTAAAGAAGAAAGCAACAACCGCCTCCCTCCCGCGGCCCTGGCCGCCTCCTCCTGCCACCCCCGGGGACCCCCGGGCGCCCCTTCTGTCCCCACGCCCCTCCAGGCACCCCCTCGCCTGCTGGTGACACACGGGGGTGGCCGCCCCCCGCCTGCCACCCCCGCTCTGTGTGCCCGCACAGGGGCGGGCACCTGCTCCTGCCCCCAGGGATGTCACCCGTCCCCGTGGGGGGCTCAGTGCCCCCCATTGCCCCTCGGTTCTGCGCCGCGGCACCAGTGGGACGGGGGGAATACACTGGGACAATTTTGGGGTCACAGCTGGTCCCGCACAGGAGGGAGTGGGACACGGGACCCAGCGTGACCCCGATGGATTTGGGGCGACCCAAAACCACCCGGGCGGCGCTGGCGGAGCCTGTCCCCGCTCGGGCGGGGGTGTCCAAGCCCCGTGTCTGCCGTGTCCCCCCCGAGGCTGCCGGGAGGGACAAACCCCGCGAGCCGCCGGGTGACAACACCGCGGCCGCTGGAGCCACTTAATCACCGGCGCGTCCTGTCCCCATTTCCAACCGCTGCGCCCGCCCGGCGGCCCCCGCAGCCCCCGGGGACCCCGGTGGGCGCGGGGGGAGTCCCCGGCTGCCCAAATCCCACGGGCGAAGGCGGCGGGGGCCCCGCGGAGCCGGGCCCGGGCTGGCAGCGCCGCGATCGCGGCCGGCGCGTGGGAGCCCGCAGCTCCCGGCGAGCGCCCGGCCCGGCCGAGGGAGCAGCGAGCTCCGCCCTGGCCGCGGGGAAAACTCGGCTGGGTTTTCATCATCCCGGCACGGACGGGCCCGCCGCCGCCGCCAACCAAACGCGGCTGCCCGGTGGGCTGAGAGCGGCACCACCGGAGGGGATCGGGGCACCGGGAATGGGGCACCGGGATGGGAATGGGGACACTGGGATGGGGGCACCGGGATGGGAAGGGGGACACCGGGATGGGGACAGCGGGATGGGGACATGGGATGGGAATGATGACACTGGGATGGGGACCCGGGATAGGGACACCGGGATGGGGACACTTGGATGGGAATGGGGACACCGGGATAGGGACCTGGGATGGGGACACTGAGATGGGACCCCGGGAATGGGGACACCGGGATGGGGACACTTGGATGGGGATGGGGACACCAGGATGGGGACCTGGGATGGGGACACTGAGATGGGACCCCGGGAATGGGGACACCGGGATGGGGACCCCAGGATGGGAAGGGGCAGGACGGGCCCCTTTGGGGTTTCTGGCTGTGCAGAAATGGGGCTGAACACACGCACGGGGCTCTGTAGGGCGCATCTGGGGGGATTTGGGCACACCCCAACCCCAGGGTCCCACTGCCCTCCCTCTCCTCTGCCTCCCCAGGAGGATCCAGGGCTGTTCCCACGGCTGCTCCAGCCTGGGGACCCCCGAGTGCTGTTGGGGTTGGGGTGGTGGCCTTGGGCTCCCTGGCTGGCCCTGGGGGCCGGATCGTGGCCACCAACAGCTCTGGGGGCCATGGGCAGCTCCAGCCACCCCAATTCCCACCCCAATTCCCATCCCATCCCCATTCCCATCCCAATCCCAGTCCCCATCCCTGCTGTGCCACCACAGGGAACACGGACGGTGCCTCCTGGTCCCCAGCTGCCCCTCAGCCACCCCGCACACATGGCCTGTCCCCGTCCCTTCGCCCCAGGGGCTGCTCCCAGTGCTCCCAGTGCTCCCAGTGCTCCCAGTGCCCCCAGTGCCCCCAGTGCCCCCAGTGCAGGATGATCCCAGGATGATCCCAGGCTCTCCCATCCCGGCCATTCCCACTCCAGGAAGGGGCTGCAGGGTGGGAGGACGTGGGGGACACGAGCGGACAGGGATGGGGGTCTGGGAGGGCCAGGACCACCTCAGGACCACCTCATCCCACCAGCACCACACCCCAAACCCCCCGGGACCCTCCAGACCCACCCCAAAACAGATCCTGGGCTGGGACCCTGCTGGGAAGGGTCTGGGAGCAGGAGGAGGCTGCGGCACCGCACTGGGGGCACTGGGGGCACTGGGGGCACCAGGATCTGGGGTCTGGGGGCTCCCGGAGCCCCCCCCGGCAGAGCTGGGACCACCCAGGGCAGGGAATCACAGGGGGGATCCGAGTGTCTGAAACCCCGAGCCGTGCCTTGAAATTACTGCTAATTACAGCTCATTTGCATAAATTATAAGGCAAGAGGCAAATGCCGCCAATCCCTCCGAGTGATCAGGCAGCGGGGGGGGCGGTGACAGAGGGGGGGACAAAGGGGGGACGGGGGGGTCGGGGCTCCCCAAAACTGCAGCGGAACCTCGGGGTGTCCCCAGAGCCCGGCAGGGGAGGGACACGGCCCTCGGTGGGTGACAGGGCTGGGGGTGGCACTGGGGGTGTCACAGGGGGGTTCCGGGGGTGTCACAGCGGTGTCCCGGGGGTGTCCCAGGGGGTTTCTGGGGTGTCCCAGGGGTGTCCCACGGTGTCTCTGAGCTCCTCCCTGTCCCTGTGTCCCGGGGGTGTCCCGGGGGTGTCCCGGGGGTGTCCCGGGGGTGTCTCTGAGCTCCTCCCTGTCCCCGCCCCTGCGTGCCCCCCCTTGGCCGGTGCCGCTCCCGCTCGGGTGCCGGGGGGGCTCTGCCGCGGGGCTGCGCCGTCTGGGCCGCCCCGTCCCTCTGGGCACAGCCCGGGGGCGCCCGCGGGGCCCAGACGGGCCCGGGCGGAGCCGCCGGATCCTCCCCGCGGGTCCGGGGGGGCCCCACGCCCAGACGGGCCCGGGGGGGGACGCGGGGGTGACGTTGGAGCTGCCGAGCCCGGGGGGACCCGGGGCTGCTGCAGGTGGCGCATGGGGACAGGGCCAGGTGAGGGGGGGACGGGGGTGGCACTGGGGGGGTGGGCACAGTCCTGGGGGGTGTCACAGCCATCACGGGGGTGTCACAGCCAGCATGGGACTGTCACGGTCCCCACGGGGGTGTCACGGCCACCATGGGGGTGTCACAGTCCCCATGGGGGTGCCACGGTCCTGCGGGTTGGGCACAGTCCTGGGGGGTGTCACAGCCATCACGGGGGTGTCACGGTCCCCACGGGGGTGTCACAGCCATCACGGGGGTGTCACAGCCAGCATGGGACTGTCACGGTCCCCACGGGGGCGTCACGGCCCCACGGGGGTGTCCCAATACCCGCCAGGACACCCCCGTGTGCCCCCTCGCTGTCCTCCAGCGGTGCCACGGCCGGTGCCCGGTGCCCGGGGCACAGCTGGCACAGCTGGCACAGCTGGCACGGCTGGCACGGCTGGCACGGCGCTGCCCCCCCGCTGCCCGAGGCCAGGGCCGCCTGCCATCCCGGCAGAGATCTCTATCGCGATTATCGCGACGGGGTTGCCCTGCCCGCAGCGCGTGCCCGCGGGCGGCGTTTCCTCAGCGATCGCTGTCGGGACTCGGGCTCCGCGCCGGGGCTGGGGCTCGGTGCAGCCTTAAACGCGAGTTTTAATTGGAGTTTTAATTAGTCCCGTGCTAATCTCGCTGCCGTATCTGCGCCCCGGCGGCCCCGCTGTCAGTCACGGCCCGGGGAAACCGGCCCGGAACGGGCGGGAGAGCGGGACAGGGACACGGGGGGACAGCGGGGACAGAGACAGTGGGGACAGCGGGGACAGGGATGGGGACACGGGGGGACACAGGGACAGGGATGGGGACAGGGGACACTGGGCTGAATTGGGGACATGAGGACGAGCTGGGGACAGGGACAGGGACGGGGACAGGGACACGGGGGGACAGGGATGAGGACAAGGATGGGGACAAGAATGGGGACAGGGACAGGGGACAGAGACAGGGATGGGGACAGGGACACGGGGACAGGGACACGGGACAGAGACAGGGACACGTGTCCCCAGCAGAGACCCAACCCAGCCCCCGCGCTGCCCCCGCGGTGTCCCCGAGTGTCCCCAACCCCGCGAGCCCCCAGCGCGGGACTGAGGCGGGCCGGGGGGAGCCGGGGGGGGTTTTGGGGCGCGGGCCGGGGGGAGCCGGGGAGGGTTTTGGGGCGCGGGCCGGGGGTCGGGTGAGTAAGCGGAGCGGGGAGGGCGGGGGTGAGGGCGGGGAGGCGCTGGCCGCGGCTGCTTCCCACAAATGGAGGCCCCGCGGCCACAGACACGGCACAACAAAGCACCGGGCAATTATTTGGCTCCAGTGGGAGCTGCCGGGCCCGTGGGGGCTGGAGCCAGCTGGGCACCCCCGGCACCCCCGGGCGGCACCGCCGAGGGGACCCCGGGAGGGTGAGGGACCCCCCAAAAGGGGATGCGGGACATTGAGCACAGCCCGGGTTTTGGGAGGGGTTGGGGATACCCATCGCTTTTGGGAACCCCGAAATCTGCAAAGGGATTTGGGATCCCTGTCTCTTTGGGGACTCCGAAACCGGCAAGGGGATTTGGGACCCCTGGCCCTTCTGGCAGCCTGAAAACCCCAAAGCTCTCCAAGAGCCCCGAGCTCCCAAAATTTAGAAGGGGATTGGGGACCTCCATCCCTTCTAGCGCCTTGAACACCCCAAAACACTCCAATCACTCTGAACCCCCAAATTCTGCAATGGTAATGGGGACGCCCATCCTCTCAGGGAACCCCCATCCCCTCCGGGACACTGTCAGGGTTTGGGGACCCCCATCCCACCCCAGGTTCCGCAGGGACCCCCCGAACCCCGCTGTGCCTCCTCCCCGCGGGGGTTGGGGACCCTCGGGGGCGCCATCGCCCCGGAACCCCCCGATCCCCGCCCCGGGACCCCCCGGATCCCCTCCGTGCCCGCCCCGGGACCCCCCGGATCCCCATCCCGGGACCCCCGGACTCCCCTCACTGGGACCCCCCGGATCCCCTCTGCGCCACCTTTGATGGGGGGGGTGGGGGGCGAGGGGGATCCCCGGGACTCCCCACCCGCTGGGGGACCCCGTGACGTCATCCGGCTTCAGCTGCCCCCTCCGCCAATCGCAAGCGCAGCTCCTGCGCCTCGCGACTTCCATTAATTCATTAACATGTCAATCAAATTATTGTGACCAATCACAAGGAGTGTTTTGTGCGGATCACGCCCAAGAGTAACTCCGCCCCCTTGAAGGCCTGTCAATCAATCAGGCGATAGCCATAGGCTGGGCTTGCGTCCATTGGCTGTCGATGGTGTCAATCAGAGATCTTCTCTGCTATTGGCTCTCCGCTGCCGTCCGTCACCTCAGAGCTCCGCGCCCATTGGCGGAGCCATCCCTCCATCACGCGCTTTACTGCTCGGCTCAGCTGCCCATCAACCGTTTCCCCTCCTCGGATTGGCCGTCGCTCCACCATCTCAGCGCCCATTGGCCAGATCGCAAAGCAGCCGGGCGGCGATTGGCCCAAACCCCCTCTGTGGGCGGGCGCAGCAGGGCGGTGCCCGGCGGAGGAAGATGGCGCCGTGAGCGGGTCGGAGCCGCCGCCGCCCCCGGCCGGTCAGTGCGGGGGGAGCGGGGCCGGGCCGCGGCCGCTGCGAGGCCGCCGGGGCGGGGAGGGACCCGCGGCCGCCCCGAGCCGCCCTCCCCCGGCGCCCGGCGGGCGGGCGGCGCTTCCGGCAGCGGGGCCCGGTCGGGGGCGGGCCCGGCCTTTGGGACCCGCCTCCCCCGGGACCGCCCGGAGCGGCGGGGGCGGCCCGGGGGGACCGGGGAGAGCCCGGGGGGGGCTCCAGGGGGACCCTCGGGGGTCGCGGCCTCATCCCGGCACGGGGGCGGCGGGGCCGGTTCGGCGATCCCGGGATGCTCGGGGAGCCCCGGGGATGCTCGGGGGTCCCGGGGATGCTCAAGGGTCCCCGGGATGCTCGGGGGTCCCGGAGGATGCTCGGGGAGGTCCCCGAATTTCCTTATGGGATTCATTCCCCTGATGGGGTTCGGGATGGTTCCCAAATTTCCCTGGTGGGATTCAGGACGATTCCCAAATTTCTCTCATGAGGTTCATTTCCCCAATGGGATTTGGGCTGTTTTTCCTTATGGGATTCCTTTCCTTGGGATTCATTCCCCTGATGGGATTTGGGATGGTTCCCAAATTTAGGGGCCTCTGCTTCACCGCGAGTGGGAAACACACGGAGGGATCATGCCAGGCTTCCCTGCATTAATATCCCCATTTATTGTTCTGGGAAAATGGGATTTCTCCAGGGAAAATGGGATCTCTTCCAGAAAAATGGGATTTCTCCAGAAAAATGGGATCTCCCTGTCCGGGATCTGGCTCCTCCCTAGCCGGCCCAGCCCCGCTCTGATTCGCGGTCGGGGCTGTTGATCCTCAACTCTGCCCTAAATTCCGATGGAAGGGAGGGAACAACCACACAAAATCCCTGGAAAAACGAGAATATTTCAGGCTGGGAATGGGAAGATTTGGGGCTAGAAATGGGAAGATTTCAAGGTGGGAACAGGAATATTTCAGGCTGGGAATGGGAAGATTTCGGGAGGTTTCGGCTCTCTGGGCACACCTGCTTTGAAGCTGGGCTCTGCCAGTTTTAGGAGGCTGCTCCTTCAATCCAAGGCTGTGCTGGAATTCAGGAGAACGAGGGAATCCAGGAGAGCTCCCTGGGATTTCCCCTGGGAACCAACCAAAGCCCCAACCCTGGAGAGGGGAGGAGGTGGCACATGGGGGGCAGCCCCCCGTGTGAGGTGGGATGGCTCTGGGGCGCACCAGGCAGATCCTGGGGGTCAGAACCCCGGGCTGGGCTCCCCGAGGAGCTGATCCCCCCCTGCTCTGTGCCCACAGCCCGAGGGACAGCACAGCATGGCTGCCACTGCTGCTGTCAGCCCCAGCGAGTACCTGCAGCCCGCCAACGCCGCCGGCCAGGTGAGCCCAGCCCCTGCCCAGGTGAGCCCAGCCCCTGCCCAGGTGAGCCCAGCCCCTCCCCAGGTGAGCCCAGCCCCTGCCCAGGTGAGCCCAGCCCCTGCTCAGGTGAGCCCAGCCCTGCTGGGGTGAGCCCAGCCCCTGCCCAGGTGAGCCCAGCCCCTGCCCAGGTGAGCCCAGCCCTGCTGGGGTGAGCCCAGCCCCTGCTCAGGTGAGCCCAGCCCTGCCCAGGTGAGCCCAGCCCCTGCTCAGGTGAGCCCAGCCCCTGCTCAGGTGAGCCCAGCCCTGCTGGGGTGAGCCCAGCCCCTGCCCAGGTGAGCCCAGCCTTGTCCAGGTGAGCCCAGCCCCTGCCCAGGTGAGCCCAGCCCTGCCCAGGTGAGCCAGGAGGGCAGCACAGCCCCTGGGGCATTGCTGGGGGCTCATTCCCTGTCCTCATCCCAGAGTTCTTCCTCCTCCCCGAGCATCTCTGATCTTCCCAGCCCATATCTCGGGGTGGGTTTGGGATTTGAGCTGCCTGTGATGTTCCAAGGGGAAATCTCAGGGAGTTTCCAGGATGTCCACAGCTTTGGGATGGTTTTAAGGATGGTTTGAAGCTTTAGGATGGTTTTAAGCTTTAGGATGGCTTTAAGGATGGTTTTAAGGATGGTTTTAAGCCTTAGGATGGCTTTAAGGATGGTTTTAAGGATGGTTTTAAGCTTTAGGATGGCTTTAAGGACACAAGGATGGGATTTAAAGGGATTCAGGGACACAGGGATGGGATATTAAATGCCACCATGGCTGAAAGCAGTGGGTGCTGGACATCTGCAGGAATTCCTTCACAGAAGAACTGGGATTGGGATGGGCTGCCCGGAAAGGTGGTGGAGTCACCTGGGGATGTTTCAGGAAGGACTGGACGTGGCCCTCAGTGCCATGCTGGGGTGGCAAAGTGTCCCCAGGTTGGACTGGACCATCCCAAAATCCTTTCCAGCCTCGGTTGTTCGTTAATTAACGCGGGTAATTAATCAGCTCCCTCGGTCGGGGCTGTGTCGTGAGCCGTTCCTGCAGGTGCTGGGCCCTAACTGCCCTCTCTCCCCAGGACTCCCAGCCCTCTCCCCTGGCCCTGCTGGCAGCCACATGCAGCAAGATCGGTCCCCCCGCCGTGGAGGCGGCCGCGGCGCCGCCGGCGCCCCCCCAGCCCACCCCTCGCAAGCTGGTGCCCATCAAACCCGCCCCGCTGCCCCTGGGCTCTGCCAAGAGCAGCATCGGCATCCTGTCCTCCAAGGGGAACCTCTTCCAGATCCAGGGCTCCCAGGTGGGCACCTCCTACCCCGGGGGGCAGCTGGTGTTCGCCATCCAGAACGCGGCCGTGCTCAGCAAAGCCTCGCGCTCCTCCTCCTCCTCCTCGTCCTCCTCGTCCTCCTCGTCCTCCTCCAGCATCCAGTACCAGGCGGTGCCGCAGCTGCAGCCCAGCGGGGCTCAGACCATCCAGGTGCAGCCTAACCAGATCCAGATCATCCCAGGCACCAGCCAGGCCATCCTCACGCCCTCCTCCTCCTCCTCCTCCTCCTCGCACAAGCCCGTGCCCATCAAGCCGGCCCCGGCGCAGAAAGCGGCGGGAGCGGGCGGCGTGGTCAAACTGCCCGGGGGCGCCAACGTCACCCTGAGCCTGCCCCCGGCCCTGGTGAGCCCCGAGGCGGGCGGGCAGCCCCAGCTGCTCACGGACAGCCCTTCCAAAGGCGGCAAAAAGCCGCGGAAAAAGGCCCCGTCCCCCGGGCAGCCCGCGGCCGTGGCCGTGGCCGAGCAGGTGGAGACGGTGCTGATCGAGACCACGGCCGAGAACATCATCCAGGCTGGCAACAACCTGCTGATCGTGCAGAGCCCGGGCTCGGGGCAGCCTGCAGTGGTGCAGCAGGTGCAGGTGGTGCAGCCCAAGCAGGAGCCGCAGGTGGTGCAGATCCCGCAGCAGGCGCTGCGCGTGGTGCAGGCGGCCTCGGCCACGCTGCCCACCGTGCCCCAGAAATCCTCCCAGAACTTCCAGATCCAGGCGGCCGAGCCCACCCCCACACAGGTACGGCCTCCTTGGGACCTTCTCCCTGCTGCTCCCCTCTGGTCCTCACCCAGGGTTTGGGAGCTGGGGGGTTTGGGAGATATTCCCAGCTTGGAGTCTGGTTTGGGCATTGCTGAGGGGAGGTTGGGAGTGCAGCCATGCCCTCTGCAGGGATTTAGGAGCTCCAGCTCCTTTCATAGGTGCTTTTTCAGTGTCCCTGAAAGCTCCTCAGTGCCACAGCTGGGGCTGGGATGAGCCAGCCTGCTGGAAGTTCCTGAGTCACTAAGGGAGGTGGGAGAGGGATGGTGTCCTTGTGTCCCCTTGGGCAAAATCCAGGAGCCTTCTCCTTTCTCCAGAGGTCCCACAGAGGTGCAGATTCACCTCCCAGTGAGGGTGGGGAGGAGCTGGGCTGCACTTCCCACACAAGCTATGACTCCCCCATCCCTGGAAGTGTCCAGGCCCAGCTGCAGCAGAAGGAAATTAAAACACGACAGCCTCCAACCCCCCCCACCCCACCCCAAACCATTCCAGAATTCCCGAGCTGCGTGGGGCAGATCCCATCCCCACAAACCCCGCCCGTGTTCCCTCCTGCCGCCCAGGTTTACTTCAAGACCCCCTCTGGCGAGCTGCAGACCGTGCTGCTGCAGGAGGCCTCGTCCATCCCGCCGCCGGCGCCGCCGGGCGCGTCCTGCGGCAGCCCCGGTACCGGCAGCGCCCGCAGGCCGGCCCCGCGCAAGGAGCGGCCGCTGCCCAAGATCGCCCCGGCCGGGGGCATCCTGAGCCTGAGCGCGGCACAGCTGGCAGCAGCTGCACAGGCCATGCAGACCATCAACATCAACGGCGTGCAGGTGCAGGGCGTGCCCGTCACCATCACCAACAGCGCAGGTGGGTGGCACTGATGGCATGGAGGGGACATGGGGACATGGGGACATGGCAGGGGCAGGTGCAGGGGCAGGGCGTGCCCGTCACCATCACCAACAGCGCAGGTGGGTGGCACTGCTGGCATGGAGGGGACATGGGGACATGGGGACACGGGGCAGGGCGTGCCCGTCACCATCACCAACAGCGCAGGTGGGTGGCACTGCGGGCATGGAGGGGACATGGGGACATGGGGACATGGCAGGGGCAGGTGCAGGGGCAGGGCGTGCCCATCACCAACAGCGCAGGTGGGTGGCACCATGGGCATGGATGGGGACATGGGGACATGGGGATGGATGGGACAGGGGCAGGTGCAGGTGCAGGGCGTGCCCGTCACCATCACCAACAGCGCAGGTGGGTGACACCGTGGGCATGGAGGGGGACATGGGGATGGGGACACGGGGCAGGGCCCGTCACCATCACCAACAGCGCAGGTGGGTGGCACCGTGGGCATGGAGGGGGACATGGGGACATGGGGATAGGGACACGGGGCAGGGCGTGCCCGTCACCATCACCAACAGCGCAGGTGGGTGGCACTGCTGGCATGGATAGGGATGGATGGGGCAGGTGCAGGTGAGCCCCTCAAGGATGGGAGGTCCTTAAAACAGATCAGATCAGATTAAATCAGATCCCCTGAGGGACATGGGGACAGTGGGGAGCTCACTGAGCTTCCAGAGGAATGAGGAGCTCTCCCAAGCTCCCAAACCCAGGAGAGGCACATTCACACACCCAGCTCCGTTTTTGCAGCTCCACTTTTCAGGGATCAGCATTCCAGGAGTGAACCCCTCACTCCAGGGATCACCTGAACCCCTCACTCCAGGGATCATTCCAGGAGTGAATCCCTCACTCCAGGGATCATTCCAGCAGTGAATCCCTCACTCCAGGGATCATTCCAGGAGTGAATCCCTCACTCCAGGGATCATTCCAGGAGTGAATCCCTCACTCCAGGGATCATTCCAGGGAATGAACCCCTCACTCCAGGGATCATTCCAGCAGTGAATCCCTCACTCCAGGGATCATTCCAGGAATGAACCCCTCACTCCAGGGATCTCCCCAGACCCCAAACCAGCCGGGCCCGGCCCCGCTGCTCCCCGTGCCAGGAGTGTCACGTCCCTGCAGCCGCCCTGTCCCCACTGCAGGGCCAAACCCTTGCCCAGAGCCGAGGGGAGGGTTGTCCCTGTGGGGAGCTTTATCTGCTCCCTGAGATCAGCCCAGCCCTGCTGCCTGCTTGCTTGGTGCCCCAGCCCTGGCTCTGCTGCTGCTCCTGGCCAGGCGTCAGCAGAAATCCCAACCCCACTTTCCCACTGTGCTGTCCTCCCAGGACTGCCTTTGTGGGGGGGGATTGAATTTAATTAGCTGTTCCAATTAACGTGGAGGGGACTGGCAGGACCTGCTGCCCACAGCCCAGCCAGGGCTCAGCTCATCCCCAGCGCTGCCTTCCCTCGCTTGGCGCTTCCCCGCCGGCTCTGCCTGCTCTCCCTCCCCGCTCTGCTCCTCTGCTGCAATCCCCCTTGTTCTTCCCCTCCTCCTCCTCCTCCTCCTCCTCCTGGTGCTGCCCTGGGAGCAGCAACCCCAACCCCAGCCCCAAGCCCAAGCCCAATCCCCATCCCAGCCCCGCTTGCTGACGCTGACCCCCTGTTCTTCTTTCCAGCCCCTGTCGCGGCTGCCAGGGACGCCCGAGCCTGGAGCGGCCCTTAGGCTGCGGGGTAAGTCCCGTTTTTTTGCTCAATATATTGCACGTTTTTTCAAAGTTTCTTTTTTGTTCCCTCTTTGAGCCCTTTTTTTATTCCCCGCCCCCCTAAAAGGGTCGAAAACAACTTTTTTGAAAACTTTGAAAAACCGCACAGTATATTCAGAAAAAAGGGGACTTACCAGGAGAGGCACGTGGCAAAGGGGGCCGTGCTGCATGTGGGGGTGAGTTCGGGGTGTTCCCTGTCCGGAGGGCGCAGCTGGATCCTGACTGCCCCTTTTCCCTCCTCCCCAGGCCAGCAGCAGCTGACGGTGCAGAACGTGTCCGGCAACAACGTGACCATCAGCGGGCTGAGCCCCACGCAGATCCAGCTGCAGATGGAGCAGGCGCTGTCCGGGGACATCCAGCCCGGAGAGAAGAGGAGGAGGATGGCCTGCACCTGCCCCAACTGCAAGGACGGCGACAAGCGGTGGGTGCTGCGAGTGGGAAGGCTCATCCCGCTTGGGTCTGCCCCTTCTGGGCTGTCTCAGAGCGGTTCATCCCTCGGGATCTGCCTCTCCTGGGCTATCTCAGAGTGGTTCATCCCCCTGGATCTGCCCCTTCTGGGCTAACTCCAGGTTCATCCCTTTGTATCTGCCTCTCCCGGCTTTAACCTAGAGCAGCTCATCCTGCTTGGATCCGCCTGTCCCGGGTCTAACCCGGAGCGTTTTACCCCCCGCCCCGTCCCGCCTGGCCGTGCTGACGCCACCTCTCCCTCTCCCTCTCCCTCTCTCTCTCCCTCTCCCTCTCCCTCTCCCTCTCCCTCTCCTCTCCCCTCCCTCTCCTCTCCTCTGCCATCCCTTCAGGCCGGGTGATGGTGGGAAGAAGAAGCACATCTGCCACATCCCCGAGTGCGGGCGCACGTTCCGCAAGACGTCGCTGCTGCGGGCGCACGTGCGGCTGCACACGGGCGAGAGGCCCTTCGTGTGCAACTGGGTGTTCTGCGGCAAGCGCTTCACCCGCTCCGACGAGCTGCAGCGGCACGCGCGCACCCACACAGGTCTGCACCGCGCCGGGGCTGGGATGGAGCCCCCAAAAGGGCTGGGGTATCCCTGGGGAGTCCCTGTTCCCAAAGCAGAGCCCCCAAAAGGGCTGGGGAATCCATGGGGTGTCCCCATTCCCAAAGCAGAGCCCCCAAAAGGGCTGGGGAATCCATGGAGTGTCCCCGTTCCCAAAGCAGAGCCCCCAAAAGGGCTGGGGTATCCCTGGGGTGTCCCCGTTCCCAAAGCAGAGCCCCCAAAAGGGCTGGGGAATCCATGGGGTGTCCCCGTTCCCAAAGCAGAGCCCCCAACAGGGCTGGGGTATCCCTGGAGTGTCCCTGTTCCCAGGGCAGCTCCCCCAAACACATCTGGGGCACCCCAAGCTCTCCTCCATCCCCAGGGCAGAGCCCCCAAACAGGCCTGGGGGACCCCCAGGTGCCACCACCCCCTTGGGAGCACGGGGATGGTCTGGGCAGGTTCTCCCTGGGTTCTGGGGGGCACTGGGGGATTTTGGGGGGGTCTCTGGTGACGGGGGCTAACGGGGCCGTATCCTGGGGTGTCACCCCATCCCCTGAGGCCCCTGGCCGTCCCTGGGGGTGACCCCAGTGGTGTCCCCTGTCCCCGCAGGTGACAAACGCTTCGAGTGCGCGCAGTGCCAGAAACGCTTCATGCGCTCCGACCACCTGACCAAGCACTACAAAACCCACCTGGTCACCAAGAACCTGTAGGGTGGGGGCACCCCCTGCGCCCCACGCCCGGCCCCACAGCCAGGGGCCACCCACAGCACTCCAGGGAGGCGCCTCGGGGGCGTCCCCGGCCTCCCGACCGCGCTGGGCACCCCGAAACCGGCGCTGGGGGTGCCCCAGGGTCCCCCCTGTGACCCCAGAGATTTACGGGGTGACCCAGAGCCTCCCCTGTGACCCAGAGCCCTCCTTGTGACCCCACAGGCTCAGGGGTGACCCCACAGGTTTAGGGGGTGACCCAGAGCCTCCCCTGTGGCCCAGAGCCTCCCCTGTGACCCCAAAGGTTTAGGGGATCACCCAGAGCCTCCCTTGTGACCCCACAGGCTCAGGGGTGACCCCACAGGTTTAGGGGGTGCCCCAGACCCTCCCCTGTGGCCCAGAGCCTCCCCTGTGACCCCAAAGGTTTAGGGGATCACCCAGAGCTTCCCCTGTGACCCCACAGTCTGATGGGGTCCCCCAGAGCCCCCCCAGCCCCACGGGGTCCCCCCAGTTTCCCCCAGAGCCCCCCAGGGCGTGGGGCAGGAGCCCCGAGGGGAGGGGCTCCAGAGCACATTCCTACTTTATATTTAAAGTCTATAAATAGCTATAAATATCTATATCCCCTTTGGAAAATCCCTGTTTTCTATCGGATCGTTGCCTTACACTCCCCTGTCCCCGCCCTGTGGATCATGAGTGCTTTTTTAATCTATTTAATCCCCTGCCTTCCTCTCCCAAAACTCCGTTTTTTCTCCCCCTCATGGCCAATTCCTCTCTCCCAATTTTTATTTCCGAGCAACGTTGGCAATTCCCCCCTTTTTTTATTTTGTTTGCAATTTTGGGACTCCATCCCTTTTTTTTTCCCTTTTCCTTCCTTTTTTTTTTCTTTTTTCCCCTTTTCCCTTCCTTATTTTTTATTTTCACCCCTTTTTCTTTCCTTTTCTCCCCCTTTTTCCTTCCTTATTTTTTCCCCTTCCTCCTTCCTTAGTTTTTATTTTTCCCCTTTTTTTCTCCCTTATTTTTTATTTTTCCCCCCTTTTCTCTTCCCGTTTTTTTATTTTCTCCTTTTCCCTCCCTTTTTTTTTCTTTTCCCTCCTTTTTCCTTCCTTATTTTTTATTTTCCCTCTCTTTCCTTCCTTTTTTTTTCCATTTTCTCTTCCTTATTTTTTTCTTTTTTCCCCCTTTCCGTTCCTTATTTTTTCTTTTCCCTCCTTTTTCCTTCTCTTTTTTTTATTTTTCCCCCTTTATCCTCCCTTGTTTTTTTCTTTTTCCCCCTTTTCCTGTCCTTATTTTTTATTATTTTTTCCCTCCCTTTTTGTTTCCTTTCCCCCTTTCCCGTGTGTGCCCCCCACCCTGTGTACAGTGTACATTGTATCATAGATTCTATTGCTTTGGAGCTTTTAAATTAAACAGAAATTCCGTTTATTTTTGCCTGCTGTGCCGGGCCGTGCTGTGCCTGCCCTGTGTGATCTTCCGGGAGCTTCCCCTGCTCAATAAAAACCCCGAGGCGCCTCCAGGTCCTGCTGCCTCCGGGCTCTGGGGATTTGGGGGAACGGGTGGGATTTGGGGGAATTGGGGGAATGGATGGGATTTGGGGGAATTTATGGGATTTGGGGGAATGGATGGGATTCACAGGAATGGATGGGGTTTGGAGGCGTGGATGGGAAATTGAGGAATTTTAGCAGGAAATGGTTCAGCTCCTGCTGTGAGCTGCTGGCTCAGGAGTGGGGGATTGTCCCCAAATCCCTGTCCCCAAATCCCTGTGCCCAAACCCCTGTCCCCAAACCCCTGTGCCCAAATCCCTGTCCCCAAATCCCTGTCCCCAAATCCCTGTGCCCAAATCCCCGTCCTTGTCACAGCATCCCAAACACCCCATACCCACATCCCTGTCCCCAGTGTCCCCAAATCCCTGTTCCCACCATGTTCCAGCCCCTTGTCACGGCCTCCCGAGGCCCATATGTCCCAAATCCCCAAATTGCCGTCCCCGTGTGTCCCCGCTGTCCCCTGGGTGTCCCCCTCCCGCGGTCGTTGCCCCTTTAAGAGCCCCCGCACCTCTCTATACCAGCCACTACTTCCGGGTCTTTTGTCCCCGCCCCTTCCACCTCCTCCAATGGGCAGCCAGCTCCTACGGAGGCGCGCGCGCTCTGCCGCTGTCTATTGGCTGCGCTGTAGGAGGCGTGGCCGCTCTTGGACACGCCCCCGGGGCCGTGGGGGCTCCGCTCGGCGGCGATGGAGCTGGAGCAGCTGCGGAAAAGCTACCGGGGGGACAGCGAGGTGGGACCGGGGGGACAGCGAGGGGGGACCGGGGGGACAGCGAGGGGGGACCGGGACAGGGGGGACCGCGGGGGTACCGGGAGGGCCCCCCAAAGCCCGGAGAAGCCCCTCCCGGGCAGGGTGACCGTCCCCGAGGCTTGGGGCCACCCCGCAGCCAGGGCGACGCTGCCCCAGGTTGTCCCCAAGCCCTGCGGTGTCCCCACGTTCCCCTTGCTGCCCCCCAGTGCTGTCCCCGCTCTGGCCCCTGTGCTGGCCGTGCCCTCGAGCGCGGTGCCCTCCCCCGGTGTCCCCTGACCCCCGGTGTCCCCCCGGTGTCCCCCGGTGTCCCCAGGCGTTCGAGGAGTGCCACCTGGTGTCCCTGGAGCCCCTGGAGCAGTTCCGGGCCTGGCTGCAGGACGCGCTGCAGTGCCCGGACATCGCCGAGCCCAACGCCATGTGCCTGGCCACCTGCTCCAGGTGACAATGGGGGGACACAGGGGGGACAGGGCAGGGACAGGGGACATGTGCCTGGCCACCTGCTCCAGGTGACAATGGGGGGACAGAGGGGGGGACAGGGCAGGGACAGGGGAGGGACACAGGACATGTGCCTGGCCACCTGCTCCAGGTGACACTAGGGACAGGGGAGGACAGGGGGGACACACAGCAGGGACACCGAGGGGACATGGGGGATACACAGGGGGTGACACAGGGGTGACACAGGTGACATGGGTGACACACAAAGGGTGACATGGGTGACACTGGGGTGACACAGGGGTGACACACAGGGTCACCCAGTGTGTGTGGGGGGACACCGAGCGGTAGCACAGGGGACACTGGGGACACTGGAGGGTGGCACAGGGGGGGGACATTGGGATGATACAGGGGGTGACACTGAGGGTGACACTGGGGTGGCACAGAGGGTGACACAGGTGACACAGGTGACACACAGAGATGACACAGGTGACACAAGTGACACACAGAGGTGACCCAGAGGTGACACAGGTGGCACAGGTGACACACAGAGGTGACACAGAGGTGACACAGGTGACACACAGAGGTGACCCAGAGGTGACACAGGTGACACAGGTGGCACAGGTGACACACAGAGGTGACACAGAGGTGACCCAGAGGTGACGCGGTGCCTGGGCACTGTCCCACAGGGACGGGCGGCCCTCGGCGCGCATGGTGCTGCTGAAGGGGCTGGGGCCGGACGGGCTGCGCTTCTTCACCAACTACGAGAGCAGGAAGGGCCAGGAGCTGGTGAGGGACACACGGACACACACAGGGAGCCCCAGAAATCAACCCCGAGAAATAAATCCCGAGAAATCCCAGATTCCGGGAGCTGGTGAAGGACGGGGACCCACAAACACCGGGAATCCCGATCAATAAATCCTGAGAAATCCCCATAAATCAATCCAAATAAATCCTGGAGCTGCTGAGGGACAGGGACCCTGAAACACCAGGAATAAATCCCGATAAATCCCGATTAATAAATCCCAATAAATCCCAATAAATAAATCCCAATAAATCCCAATAAATCCCAATAAATCAATCCAAATAAATCCTGGAGCTGCTGAGGGACAGGGACCCTGAAACACCAGGAATAAATCCTGATTAATAAATCCTGATAAATCCCAATAAATAAATCCCAATAAATCAATCCCAATAAATCCCAAATTCCTGGAGCTGGTGACGGACAGGGACCCAGAAACACCAGGAATAAATCCTGAGAAATCCCAATAAATCCTGATAAATAAATCCCGATAATAAACCCCGATAAATCCCGATAATAAACCCGGATAAATGCGGAATTCGGCCCCGGAGCAGCGCGGTTCTGCCTCAGCTCCCTCCTGTTCCCGCAGGACTCCAATCCCTTCGCCTCCCTCGTGTTCTACTGGGAGCCGCTCTGCCGGCAGGTGAGGGGGACCCCAAATCCTGGAGGGGGATTTGGGGCTGGGGATCCCCCCCGATGGGCACTGGGGTCAGACAGGGCGGGGGGGCGGCTGCGGTTTTGGGGAAAAAGTCACAGAATGGGGGTTCTGAGTTTGGGAGCACCTTTGGAGCCACTGGCCGGATCCCAGGGGATGGTGGCCCCTGAGTTTTGGGTAGAAAAGTCAGAGAATGGGGCAATTCCGTGCTTGGGAATGGGAGCTGGGGTGGCCCAGGTGCGCATTGAGGGCTCAGGGCTGTCCCCAGGTGAGGGCTGAGGTCTCAGTGCCGTCCCCAGGTGCGCATCGAGGGCTCGGTGCGGCGCCTGCCCGAGGAGGAATCCGATCGCTACTTCCAGTCCCGGCCCCGGGGCAGCCAGATCGGGGCCCTGGTCAGCCGGCAGAGCTCGGTCATCCCTGACAGAGAGGTGAGCCCAGGGCGGGATCGGCTCCCCGAGCCCTTTGGGATCGGCTGTGGGATCCCTGTGCCCTGTGGGATCCCCTCCCTCCCCATTGTTCCCCTGGCTCCCCGCAGTACCTGCGGAAGAAGAACGCGGAGCTGGAGGAGCTGTACCGGGACAAGGCAGTGCCCAGGCCGGATTACTGGTGAGACCGGGGGGCTGAGCCCCCCCGAGCCCCCAAATTCCCCCAGAACCGCCTCCGAGCGCGGGTGTCCCTTGCAGGGGCGCGTACCTGGTGGAGCCGGAGCTGGTGGAGTTCTGGCAGGGCCAATCGAACCGGCTGCACGACCGCATCGTGTTCCGGCGGCTGCGGGACCGCGCGGCGCCGCTCGGGGCCATGACCCACCGCGGCCACGGCGACTGGGTCTACGAGCGCCTCTCGCCCTGAGCCCGCCCGGAACGGCCCGGGAATAGCCCGGGAACGGCCCCGGAACGGCCCCGGGAACAGCCCGGGAACGGCCCCGGAACGGCCCCGGGAACGGCCCCGGGAATGGCCCGGGAACGGCCTCGGAACGGTCCCGGGAATGGCCCCGGGAATGGCCCCGGAACGGCCCCGGGAACGGCCCCGGAACGGCCCCGGGAACGGCCCCGGAATGGCCCCGGAACGGTCCCGGGAATGGCCCCGGAACGGTCCCGGGAACGGCCCCGGAACGGTCCCGGAACGGTCCCGGAACGGCCCCGGGAATGGCCCCAGGTGTCGCAGCCGCCCTGCCCTGTCCCTCGCTGTGTGCTGGGGATGGGCCCGGAGCTGCCCTCACCCCATCTGCAACCATTCCCAGTGGTTAATTAATTATGTAAATGATTGTGCAGGGTCCAACTGTGACCCCAGTGACCCCCCTGTCCCTGTCCCTGTCCCTGTCCCTGTCCCTGTCCCTCGCTGTGTGCTGGGAATGCCTTCAGAGCTGCCCTCACCCCGGTGTGTCCCCAAATGTGTCTGCAGCCGCTCCCAGTGGTTAATTAATCGTGTTAATGATCGTTCAGGGTCCAACTGTGATCCCAGTGACCCCCCTGTCCCTGTCCCTGTCCCTGTCCCTGTCCCTGTCCCTGTCCCTGTCCCTGTCCCTCGCTGTGTGTTGGAAATGCCTTCAGAGCTGCCCTCACCTCATCTACAGCCGCTCCCGGTGGTTAATTAATCGTGTTAATGATTGTGCAGGGTCCAACTGTGACCCCAGTGACCCCCCTGTCCCTGTCCCTGTCCCCATCCCTGTCCCTGTCCCTGTCCCACCACTGCCGCCCGTCTCTCCATGCTATGGCTGGAATCGTGGAATGTGCTCAATTCCCAGGTCGTTAATTGTTGTTTAATTAACTTAAATCGTGTCGCCGCTGTCGTGGGCTGCCCCGGGGCCATGAGACCCGAAACCTCGGCGCGTCCCCTCCTCCAGCTGCCGGAAAAGAATAAATCGGGATTTATGTGGAGGCGTGGAGCCTCTGGGTCCGTACCGGGTTAAAGTCTAACCAGGCAGGGCTGGGCTCTCCCGGGGCGGCCGGGGGGCTCGGAGCTGCCGCCAATCCCGGGCCTGGACCCGGCCCTGGCTGGAACCAGCCCCAAAACCGGCCCCGGTTCCGTGTTCGCTGTCCCGGAGCAGAACCAGCCCCCATAAACCGGCCCCGGTTCCGTGTTTGCTGTCCCGGAGCGGGATCAGCCCCCATAAACCGGCCCCGGTTCCGTGTTCGCTGTCCCGGAATAGAACCAGCCCCAAAAGCGGCCCCGGTTCCGTGTTCGCTGTCCCGGAGCGGGATCAGCCCCCATAAACCGGCCCCGGTTCCGTGTTCGCTGTCCCGGAGCGGGATCGTGCCCGTCCCGGGGGGACAGCGCAGCCCTGGCACGGTGGCCCCGGCGCTGCCGCCCCCTTTGCGCCTCTGTCACAGCCCCCGATGGCTCTGGGCCCTCCGGGCTGTCCCTTGGGGAGGACGGGAGGGGACCGGGCGATGTCGCCGCTGTCCCAAATTCCAGGGGAGGGGCAAAGGGACCGAGGGGCTCCTCCCGTTCCCGCCGGGACAAAGCCCGGGGGTCCGAGCGCGACGGGAACGAGGCTGTGAGCGCACAGAGCCGGGGCGGGACCGGGACCGGCACCGGGGGAGCTGGCACCGGCCCCGGGAAAACGGGAAACTGAGAAAACGGGAAACCGGGAAATCGGGAAACTGAGAAACCGGGAAATCGGGAAACCGGGATACCGGGAAATCGGGAAAGCGGGAAACCGAAAAAACGGGAAACCGGGAAACCGGGAAACTGAGAAACCGGGAAACCGGGAAACTGAGAAACCGGGATACCGGGAAACTGAGAAACCGGGATACCGGGAAACCGGGAAACCGGGATACCGAAAAAATGGGAAACCGAAAAAACGGGAAACCGAGAAACCGGGAAACCGAGAAACCGATAAAGCGTGAAACCGGGAAACCGGGAAACTGATAAACCGGGAAATCGGGAAACCGGGAAATCAGGAAACCGGGAAACCGGGAAACTGAGAAACCGGGATACCGGGAAACCGGGAAACCGGGATACCGAAAAAACGGGAAACCGGGAAACCGAGAAACCGGGAAACCGGGAAACTGAGAAACCGGGAAACCAGGAAATCGGGAAACCGAAAAAACGGGAAACCGAGAAACCGGGAAATCGAAAAAACGGGAAACCGGGAAACCGAAAAAACGGGAAACCGAGAAACCGGGAAATCGGGAAACCGAGAAACCGGGAACCCGGGGCAGGGCTCGGGCTCTCGGCGCCCTCCGGAGCCGGCAGGGGTTGGAGCTGCGGAGCCCGGGAGCGGCCGCGCCCTCCCCTCCCGGACCCGCCTCTGCTCCCTCCTCCTTCCCCGGGTCAGGGATTCCCCGGCGCGGCGCCGCTCCCTGGAGGAGGGACAGGGGCTGGGAAGCCCGGCCCGGAGGGGGAACCCCCAAAATCCCGCAAAATCCACCCAAATCCACCAAATCCCCCCATTCCTACCCGTTCCGGGTCCAATCCTGCCCAGCCCAGGGGTCCAATCCTGACCAGGGGAGGGTCCAATCCTGCCCAGCCCGAGGGTCCAATCCTGCCCAGCCCAGGGGTCCAATCCTGCCCACCCCAGGCTCCAATCCTGCCCGGCCCAGGGTCCAATCCTGCCCAGGGCGGGTCCAATCCTGCCCAGCCCGGGGGTCCAATCCTGCCCAAGGGGAGGGTCCAATCCTGCCCAGCCCCGAGGGTCCAATCCTGCCCACCCCCGAGGGTCCAATCCTGCCCAGCCCAGGGTCCAATCCTGCCCCGGGGAGGGTCCAATCCTGCCCCGGGGAGGGTCCAATCCTGCCCGGCCCAGGGTCCAATCCTGCCCACCCCAGGGTCCAATCATGCCCAGCCCAGGGGGTCCAATCCTGCCCACCCCGAGGGTCCAATCCTGCCCACCCCGAGGGTCCAATCCTGCCCAGGGGAGGGTCACATCCTGCTCACCCCAGGGTCCAATCCTGCCCACCCCCTACCCCCCCCCCCCCCCCCCCCCCCGGGGTCCAATCCTGCTCTCCTTGGGGTCCAACCCGGCTCTCCTTGGGAGCGATCCTGCCCCGTTTGGGTCCGACCCTGCCCCGTCTGTGTCCGACCCTGCCCCGTTTGGGTCCAATCCCGATCTAAAGGGACCAATCCCGACCTAAAAGTACAAATCCCGCTCTCGTTGGGACAAATCCGGGGGAGCTGGAAACCGGGAAACCGGGGCTGGGCTCGGGCTCTTGGCGCCCTGCGGAGCCGGGAGGGGCTGGAGCCGCGGAGCTCGGGAACGGCCGCGCCCTGCGGAGCCGGGATCGTGGATCGCGGGTCCTGGGATCCTGGGATCGTGGATCGTGGATCCCGGGATCCCGGGATCGTGGATCGTGGGTCCCGGGAGCGTGGATCGTGGATCGTGGATCCCGGAATCGTGGATCGTGGGTCCCGGATCCCAGATCGCCGCTTTCCCCGCGGGCTCACGGAGCCGGGAGGGCTCCCCGGGCTCCGGCCGGCCCCGTGTCCCCCCTTGCAGGGGCTCAGGGATTCCCGGCATGGCCGCGCTCCCTCCGGGGCTCCAGAGGGATCCAGAGCTGCCAGGAGGGATCCGGGGATCTGCGGGAAATCCCTGGAGCCGCCTCTGCTTCCAGCCCCGCGTGTCCCCTTGTCCCGCGGGGTCAGGGATTCCCCGGGATGGCTCCCAGAGGGATCCAGAGCTTTCCCACCCTTCCATGCCGGGTTCGGGCATCCGCGGGGCTCTCCCGGAGCTGCCTCCTCTCCCAGGCTCGCTTTATTAACCACAGTTAATTAGCGGCGGGCGCGAGCGGGGTGGGATCCCCGCTTCCAGCAGCGGGGAGGGATTCCCGGGGAACGCGGCTCCTCCGGGAGGGATTCCCGGGCATCGGTCCCGCGGGGTCGTTCCCTGGGCACAGGGAAGCGTCGCATCCCCCTCGGGCGGGACTCGGCAAGGACGCGGCTCTGCAGCCCCTCGGGATGGGGACACGGGCGGGGCTCGGCCCCAAAAAGTGACGGGAGGAGGGGAATGGGATTGGGAATGGGATCGGGATCGGGGCAGAGCCGGGCGGGCCCCGCGGGGAGCGTCCTCGTTCATCCCAGCACGGACCAGTCCGCGCTGGGCAGAGGCAGGGACGGGGAGCGCCGGCCCCGCTCTGCCCCGGGGTCAGTCCTGCAGCTCCGGGATCATCCCACAGGTAAATTCCATTAAATTCCATTAAATTCCATCCTGAGTCCTCCCCGGGGCCGACCCCTGCCCGGGTCACTGCTCCTCGCGCTCGCCGGCCCCGCACAGGCTGGGATGCTCGGCCAGCGTCGCCCTCACTTTCTTCTTCTCCTTGAAGCGCCCGGAGTGCGAGACCTTGACGTGCTTGCCCTTGGTGCTCTTGTCCACGATCTTCTCCAGGCGGGCGGCGAAGCCGGGGGTGCCCTCGGGGCCGGTCCCGTCCGCGCTGTCCCCGCCCGGCGCCGCGGGGCCCTCGGGGCTCTCGTACAGCACCGTGGGCGCTGCCTGGCGCTTCCGCAGGAACGTCAGCTTCCACCAGCCGTGCCCGTCGGCCATCCTGGAACGGCACCGGGGCTCGGGCTCCGTCCCGGGGCTGCCTCCGCCCTCCCGCAGCCGCACCGGGGGCGCGGCGCTGCCCTCCCACGGGATGCTCGGGGCGGGACCCGCCGCGGGCACCGGCACGGGGCGGGCGTTCCACGGCTCGGGCATTCCGGGAAAAGCCGGGAAAAGGCGGCGGGCAGCGCCGGGAGCTGCCCTTATCAGCCACGTGTAGCGGGAGGGAGCGCGGAGAGCAAACAGGAACAGGAACTGGGCGCAGGTGGCACCGGGGAGTGCCGGGGGCGCTGCCCGGGGTCCCCCCGGCCCCACGCCGGCCTCGGGGCTCGCTGCTCCCGCTGGGGCCGGGGGAGATTCCGGGAAGGCTCCGGAGCCCCGCGTGGCGGGCACGGAGGGGATTCCCAGGGCCCGGGGCCGAGCCCTGCCCCGTGTCCCGGTCCCGGTCCCAGTCCCTGTCCCCATCCCTGTCCCCATCCCTGTCCCCGTGGCGCTCAGCCACCAGCGAGCCCTCCCCGATGTCGCTTTGGGGATAAAAACCCCTTTCCCCTCAGCGACACGGGGACAGGGGCACAGAGACCGCGGCCAGCGCCCCGCTGGTGGCCCCTGTGTCCCCAGCGCCAGGTGGGACCGTCCCCGGCCGTGTCCCCAGAGTGTCCCCGGGGGTCCCACAGCCCATGCCCAGCCCGGACACCGCACCCCGGTACCTGCTCCTGCCGCCTCCGGGGGTCCCGGGGGTGTCCCGGGGGTGTCCGGGGCGTGTCCCGGGGGGCAGCGCGGGCAGGTGCCGCTCACCTGCGGCTGTCCCGGTGTTCCCGTCAAGGTGAACCCGCTCCCAAACCCCTCCTGCCGGAGCAAACAGCGGGGCCGGGCCAGGCACGGCTGAATATTCATGACAGGGAGCGGTGCCAGCCCCGGGAGGGTGGCCCGGAGTGGCCTCGGGTGGCCCCGGGTGGCCCTGGGTGGCTTTGGGTCGCTCTGAGCGGCTCTGGGTGGCTCTGAGTGGCCCTGGATGGCTCTGGGTGGCCCCGGGTGGCTCTGAGTGGCCCCGGGTGGCCGGGGATGTGTCCTGGGGCTCCCAGTGGATCCCAAGGGATCTGGGATCTGCTCTGGGGGATGCTGGGGATCCCGCAGGGTTTGGGATCTGCCCGGGAGCCTCCTGTGGATCCCCTTAGGGACGGCTGGGGGCGATCCCGGGGATCCCGGCTCGGTGCTGGGGCACCTTGGGACCGGGACCGGGATTGGCGCCAGGTTTGGGACCGGGATTAAGGCCGGACTCGGGATCGGGATCGGGATCGGGACCGGGACCGGGACCGGGGTTTAGGACTGGGACTGGGACTATGGCCGGGATCGGGATCGGAATTGTGACCGGGAGCAGGATCGGGATTGGTTCCAGGTTTGGGACCGGGACCGGGATTGGTTCCAGGTTTGGGGCCGGGACCGGGACCGGGATTTGCTCCGGGAGCGGGATCGGGACCCCCAAACTCCCACCGCCCGCTCCGATTGGTCCGCGCTCACCCCGCCCCTTTCCCCTCCAGCCAATGGAAACACAGGGACGTGGCGCTGCCTCCGAGCTGCCGCCTTCTGATTGGTGAGAGTTCGACCTCGGGGCGGAGCGCGCTTTGATTGGCCGAGGCGCGGGCGCTGAGGGAGGCGATTGGCTGGGGCAGGGAGGGCGGAAGTGGAGAGGCGGGGCCGGGAAAGATGCAGGTGCGGACCGGGAGCGGGACCGGGACCGAGAGCGGGATCGGAAACGGGAGCGGGAGCGGAGAAGGGTTCGGGAGCGGGATCGGGAACGGGAGCGGGATTGGAGAAGGGTCCGGGATCGGGATCGGAAACGGGAGCGGGGAAAGGTCCGGGATCGGGTCCAGGCGCGGGGCAGCGGGGACAGCCCGGGCCTGGCGCTGGAGCGAAGGGTCCCGGCGCCGCTCCCGGTGCCGCTCCCGGTGCCGCTCCCGGTTGCCGCAGCCCCGCCCCTGCCGTGTTCTCCCCGCAGGCCGCTCCCCAGGACTACCAGAATGTGCCCATCGACATCCAGACCAGCAAGCTCCTGGGTACGGGAGTGAGCCCCGGCTCCGCTTTCCCTCCAGACTGGGCAGGAACGGGGAATTTATCCCGGTTATCCCAGCCCAGCTCCCGCTTTCCCCTCCAGCTGCGGATCCGTCCCAGGCTTTGGGAAAAGACTCGGGGATTCCTCCCGGTGTTTGCTCCCCGTGTCCCCGGAGCCCGGGGATGTCCCCAGAGCCCGGGGATGTCCCCAGAGCCCGAGTGTCCCCCCGGCGACCCCCCTGTCCCCAGACTGGCTGCTGGACCGGCGGCACTGCGGGCGGCGCTGTCCCCATGTCCCCGCGGTGTCCCTGTCCCGGTGTCCCCATGGTGATGGCACTGTCCCCATGGTGATGGCACTGTCCCCATGTCCCCGTGTCCCCTGTCCCCATGGTGATGGCACTGTCCCCATGGTGATGGCACTGTCCCCATGTCCCCATGGTGATGGCACTGTCCCCCATGGTGATGGCACTGTCCCCATGTCCCCGTGTCCCCTGTCCCCATGGTGATGGCACTGTCCCCATGTCCCCTGTCCCCAGACTGGCTGCTGGACCAGCAGCACTGCGGGCAGTGCTGTCCCCATGTCCCCGCGGTGTCCCTGTGTCCCCTGTCCCCATGGTGATGGCACTGTCCCCATGGTGATGGCACTGTCCCCATGTCCCCATGGTGATGGCACTGTCCCCATGGTGATGGCACTGTCCCCATGTCCCCAGACTGGCTGCTGGACCGCCGGCACTGTGGGCGGCACTGTCCCTGCAGTGTCCCTGTCCCCATGTCCCCCTGTCCCCATGTCCCCCCTGTCCCCATGTCCCCATGTCCCCATGGTGATGGCACTGTCCCCATGTCCCCATGTCCCCATGGTGATGGCACTGTCCCCATGTCCCCTGTCCCCAGACTGGCTGCTGGACCGCCGGCACTGTGGGCGGCGCTGGCCGGCGCAGGTGGCGCAGGTGCGGGAGCGGATCCGGGCGGCGCTGCAGGACATGCCCGAGCACCCCGAGATCCGAGAGCTGCTCCAGGGCTCCTGTCAGTGCTCCGGGACCGGGGGGATCGGGGTTTGGGGGGTTTGGGGGGTTTGGGGTCGGGGTATTGGGAATTGGGGTTTGGGGATTTCAAACTTGGGGTTTGGGGGCTTGGGAATTGGGGTTTGGGGTCTGGGGTTTGGGGATTTCAGATTTGGGGTTTGGGGGTTTGGAATTTGGGGGTTTGGCGGTTTGGGAATTGGGGATTTGGGGTTTGGGATTTGGGATTTTGGCATGGATCTCCCCCCCTGCAGAGCCAGGATTTGGGGTGGAAGGGTTGTTCACAAAGGGGTGGTGGTGGCAGCTCAAAAACCTCCCAAAACCTCCCGGGGGTCTCCTAAAACCTCCCAGGGATCCCCCAAAGCCCCCCAGGGCTCCCCTGACCCCGTTGCTCCCCCCAGACCTGCACTATTTCCACTGCCTGCGCATCGTGGAGATCCTCAAGGGCACCGAGGCCTCCACCAAGAACCTCTTTGGGCGCTACTCGTCCCAGAGGATGAAGGTGGGAGCGCCCTCCTCTTCCTCCTCTTCCTCCTCTTCCTCCTCTTCCTCCTCTTCCTCCTCTTCCTCCTCTTCCTCCTCCTGCTCCCGCTGACCCTCGTGTCTGTCCCCAGGACTGGCAGGAGATCGTGTCCCTCTATGAGAAGGACAACGCCTACCTGGGTGAGAGGGAATGGGAATAATGGGAATGATGGGAATAATGGGAATAATGGGAATAATGGGAATTCCCCGAGGTGTCCCAAAGAACGCCCTGGGTGGGTGGAATTCAGTCCCCAAACTGGGATGGACTGGGATGGGACAGGATGGGATTTGTGGGAAGGCCAAAGCCCAGTGGGATTTAAAGGGGAATTCGGTCCCCAAACTGGGATGGGATGGGATGGGATGGGATGGGATTTAAAGGTGAATTCAGCCCCCAAATTGGGATGGGATGGGATGGGATTTAAAGGCAAATTCAGCCCCCAAACTGGGATGGGATGGGATTTAAAGGTGAATTCAGCCCCCAAACCGGGACAGGGCAGCATTTAAAGCCCGGGGCTCATGGGAACGCCCGGTCCCAGCGGGATGAGCCCCCCGGGATGCCGGGACCCCCCTGGCCCCCGGGGTGACCCCGGTGTCCCCCAGCCGAGCTCTCGAGCCTGCTGGGGCGCAGCATCAGCTACGAGCTGCCGGCGCTGCGGAGGCAGCGGGGCCGGTGCCTGCAGGCGCAGCAGGAGCTGGCGCGGCGCGAGGACGAGTGCCAGGCGCGGGCAGGGGAGCTCCGCGAGCGCTTCCTGGGCTCCTGCCGCCAGTACGGCATCGCCGTGAGTGCCCCGGGGAGCCTGGGACAACGGGCTGGGAATGGCCCCAGGGGGAGCCTGGAACAACGGGCTGGGAATGGCACCGAACAGAGCCTGGAACAACGGGCTGGGAATGGCACCAGGGGGAGCCTGGAATGGGCTGGGAATGGCCCCAGGGGGAGCCTGGAACAACGGGCTGGGAATGGCCCCAGGGGGAGCCTGGAATGGGCCGGGAATGGCTCTGAACAGAGCCTGGAACAACGGGCTGGGAATGGCCCCAGGGGGAGCCTGGAACAACGGGCTGGGAATGGCCCCAGGGGGAGCCTGGAACAACGGGCCGGGAATGGCTCTGAACAGAGCCTGGAACGGGCTGGGAATGGCCCCAGGGGGAGCCCAAAACGGGCTGGGAATGGCCCCAGGGGGAGCCTGGAATGGGCCGGGAATGGCCCTGAACAGAGCCTGGAACGGGCTGGGAATGGCCCCAGACCAACCCTAGAATAACTGCAAATAGACCCCAAAACAAGCCTGGAATAACCCCAAATGGGGCTGCAATGACCCCAAATGGGCCCCAAAATAACCCCTGAACAGAGCCTGAAACAGGCCTGAAACAGCCCCAAACAGGGCTGGAATAGCCCCAAAATGGGCCCCAGAGTAACCCCTGAACAGAGCCTAAATCAGCCCTGAAATAACCCCAAAGGGGCCCCAGAGTAACCTCAAACAGAGCCCACAACAGACCCCAAGTGTCCCCGCGGTGTCCCCAGGGCGAGGACGTGCGCCGGGAGCTGCTGGCTCAGGTGCAGGCGCTGCCGTCGCTGCTGTCCCGCGTCGGGGACGGCGCCAGCGCCCTCGGGGACGCCATCGAGCTGTACCAGGCCTGCGTGGCCTTCGTGTGTGACAGGTGGGGACAGCCCTGACACCCCCGAAACGGCCCCAAACCAACCCCAAAACATCCCTCAGCTCCCCTAAAACAGCCCCAGCTCCCCACGCTTCCCCAAAACAGCTCCTGGTCCCTCCAAAACCCTGGCACTGCGGATGCTGAGGTGTCCCCATCCCTGATGTCCCCATAACCAACCCCGTCCCCAATGCTGTCCCCATGCTCCCTGTCCCCATCCATGTCCCCTGTGCTGTCCCATGTCCCCATATCCCCAGTTCTGTCCCATGTCCCCATGTCCCTGTGCTGTCCCATGTCCCCATGTCCCCATGTCCCTGTCCCCGTCCCAGCCCTGGAGCAGAGGTGCTGCCGTTGCTGCGGCACGTGGTGTCCCCATGTCCCTGTCCCTGTCCCCATGTCCCTGTCCCTGTCCCCATATCCCCGGTTCTGTCCCTGTCCCCATGTCCCTGTGCTGTCCCCATATCCCCGGTTCTGTCCCCATGTCCCTGTGCTGTCCCCATATCCCCGGTTCTGTCCCATGTCCCCATGTCCCTGTCCCTGTCCCCATATCCCCGGTTCTGTCCCATGTCCCCATGTCCCTGTCCCTGTCCCCATATCCCCGGTTCTGTCCCATGTTCCCATGTCCCTGTCCCATGTCCCCATATCCCCGGTTCTGTCCCATGTTCCCATGTCCCTGTCCCATGTCCCCATATCCCCGGTTCTGTCCCATGTTCCCATGTCCCTGTGCTGTCCCCATATCCCCGGTTCTGTCCCATGTCCCCATGTCCCTGTCCCTGTCCCAGCCCCGGAGCGCAGGCGCTGCCGCTGCTGCAGCACGTGGTGTCCCACGGGAACTCCTCGGTGTTCCGGTGGCGCACGGGGCAGGAGCCGCTGCAGCTGGAGCGGCCCCAGCCACCCCCGGAGGCACCGGAGCCGCCGCCCGCAGGACACGGTGGGTGCTGCCCAGGGGACATGGGGGACATGGGGGACATGGGGGGGACATGGGGGACATGGGGGGACACGGGGGGGACATGGGGGGACATGGGGGGACACAGTGGGTGCTGCCAGGGGGACATGGGGGAGCACGGGGAGACATGGGCACATGGGGGGACACAGTGGGTGCTGCCCAGGGGACACGGGGGGACATGGGGACACCTCTGGCGCTGCCAGGTGGGTTTGGGGCCGGCCGTGCCTCACGAGGTGTGGGGTTTGGGGTTTGGAGTTTGGGGTCGGGCTGTGCCTCACAGGGTTTGGGATTTGGGGTTTGGGGTCAGGCCGTGCTTCACGGGGTTTGGGGTTTGGGATTTGGGGTTTGGGGCCAGCCATGCCTCATGGGGTTGGGGTGTGGGGTTTGGGGTTTGGGATTTGGGATTTGGGGTTTGGGGCCAGCCGTGCCTCACGGGGTTTGGGGTTTGGGATTTGGGATTTGGGGTTTGGGGCCAGCCATGCCTCATGGGGTTGGGGTGTGGGGTTTGGGGTTTGGGATTTGGGATTTGGGGTTTGGGGCCAGCCGTGCCTCACGGGGTTTGGGGTTTGGGATTTGGGATTTGGGGTTTGGGGCCGGCCGTGCCTCACGGGGTTTGAGGTTTGGGATTTCGGGTTTGGGGTTTGGGGCTGGCCGTGCCTCACGGGGTTTGGGGTTTTCCCGCAGATCGATTGGGGGGATTTCCCCACGGAGCCGCCCCAGGGCGGGGACATCGACTGGGGCATCACGGTGGAGCCCAGCCCCCAGGTGGGTGACAGCCCTGTGTCCCCCCGTGTCACCCTTTGTCACCTTTCCTCCCTCAGGGGACGGTGGCGTTGGTTGGGGCGATGTCCCTGTGTCCCCAAATCCCCCTGTGTCACCCCTGTGTCACCCCTGTGTCATCCCTGTGTCCCCCTGTGTCACCCTTTGCTCCCCAGGGGGACGATGGCATCGACTGGGGTGATGGAGAGAAGGGACAGGAGGGGACAATCACGGTGGTGGAGGCTGGAACTGAGGGTGAGCAGGGCTGAGGGGTCCTGGGGGGCACGGGCAGCGCCCAAATCCCCCCAAATTCCCCATTCCCAGTGGCCCTGGAACCCCCAGAGGGGTTTGGGATGGGGCAGGGATTCTGGGTGCTGGGCAGGGATTCTGGGTGCTGGGCAGGGATTTTGGGTTCTGGGCAGGGATTTTGGGTTCTGGGCAGTGTTTCTGGGTTCTGGGCAGGGTTTTTGGGTTCTGGGCACGGTTTCTGGATTCTGGGCAGGGTTTCTGGGTGCTGGGCAGGGTTTCTGGGTTCTGGGCAGGGTTTCTGGGTGCTGGGCAGGGATTTTGGGGTGAAGCTGAGCAGGCTTTGGGTTCCCCCCCCGCTGCAGCCCCCGAGGGCGTTGCCCGTGGCTCGGACGCGCTGACCCTGCTGGAGAACCCCGAGACTCGGAACCAGTTCATCGACGAGCTCATGGAGGTGGGCACCAGGGACACCGGCCCTGTTGGTGTCCCTGCAGTGTCCCCATTGCTGTCCCCGTTGCTGTCCCTGTTGCTGTCCCCGTCGCTGTCCCTGACGCTGTCCCATTCCCTGTCCCACAGCTGGAGCTGTTCCTGGCGCAGCGGCTGCTGGAGCTGGAGGACGAGGCCCTGGACGTGGTGGCCCTGAGCCAGTTCCAGCTGGCCCCGGCCGTGCTGCAGGGCCAGAGCCCCGAGCGCCTGCGGGCCCAGCTGGCCACGGCCCGGGGGCTGCTGGCCCAGCTCTGCTCCCGCAGCGTGCAGCACCTCTGCATGATCCTCGCCTCGCCCAGGTGCCTGCCCTGCCCCAAACTGCCCCAAACTGCCCCAAACTGCCCCAAAACAGACCCTCCAATAGCCCTAAAACAGCCCCTAAAATAGCCCTAAAGAAGCCCCCAAAACAGACCCCAAATAGCCCCAAAACAGACCCTCAAATAGCCCCAAAACAGACCCTAAATAGCCCCAAAACAGACCCTCCAATAACCCCAAAACAGCCCCTAAAATAATCCTAAAAAAGCGCCTAAAATAGCCTTAAACCAGCCCCTAAAATAGCCCCAAAAAAGCCCCTAAAATAGCCCTAAAATAGCCCTAAAATAGCCCTGAACCAGCCCCTAAAATAGCCCTAAACTGGCCCCTAAAATAATTCCTAAAACAGCCCTAAAGAATCCCCCAAACCAGCCCCAAAACAGCCCCAAACCAGCCCCTAAAATAGCCCCTAAAGTAGCCCTAAACCAGCCCTTTACCCGGGGCTGGAGGGGGGGCCCTGCAGTGTGTCCCCAGACAATGTCACCCATTGGGGTCTCTGTCCTCTCTGTCCCCTCTGTCCCCGTGTCCCTGTCCCCATGACCCTGTCCCTGTCCCCAGGTACGTGGAGCGCGTCACGGCCCTGCTGCGGCAGCAGAGTCTCCAGGCCGAGCTGCTGCTGGCCAAGCGGGAGGCGCTGGGGCAGCGGCGCCGCCAGGCCCTGGCCGAGCAGGGAGCGCTGGAGCCGCGGCTGCAGCAGCTGCAGGAGAGAACCAGGGAGCTGCAGAGGCTGGTGAGGGCCGGGGGGGACACCCCGGGAATGCCCCCGAGCCCCCCGAGCCCCCGGTGGCCCTGAGCCCCCTCGGTTCCATTGCAGATCGAGGCCGACATCTCCAAACGCTACGGGGGGCGCCCGGTGAACCTGATGGGCGTCAATGTGTGACACCGAGCTGTGACAGGGACGTCCAGCTGGGGCCCCTGGGGACACCAACCTGGGACACCTGATGGGCGCCAGCCTATGGCAGCTCAGGGACATCAAAGTGGAACCCCTAGGGAACACCAGCCCGTGACCCCGGAGGGACAGCAGCTGGGACACCCAAGGGACATCAGCCTGTGACACCCGAGGGACACGGGGAGTCCCAGCCCTCCCAGCCCCCCTGCCCACCCGGGGGTGCTGTGGGGTTTGGGGGTGTCAGTGAATAAACCCAAATTTGTGTCACATCGGGGGAGAGGAGCTGTGTGTCACTGAGGGGAGGGGGGACAGGGACACGGACAGGGATGGGACAGGGACACGGACAGGGATGGGACAGGGACAAGGACAGGGATGGGACAGGGAGAGCAGAGTGGGGGGCGAGAGCTGGAGCCGGGCTGGGACCCCTCTGAGCCCTCCCCGGGGCCCTGGGGCTGTGCCCGCCATGGGGACAGGGCTGGGGACAGCCCCGCGGCTCTGGGCGGGCTCGGGGCCACCAGCGCCCCCTCCTCTGGGTGGCCCGGGGCTGTCACGGCACAGCGGGCACTGATGGCGCCGTCCCTGGCGCGGTGACACCGCTCGGTGACAGCCGCGCTCCCCCCCCCCGCCACCGGTGATTAACGGCCTCGTTAATTGCCCGCCGCCTGTCGCGGAGCCGGGAGCCGCCGAGGGTCCCCCGGGAGGGGCTCCGGGGGTCACCGTCCCCATCGTCACCACAGCGAAGGCACTGGGGGGGCCGGGGAGAGCCCTCATCCCCCCGGGACCCCGGCCCTGAACCCCGGGACCAGGACAGGAGGGACAGAGGGACAGGAGGGATGGGAGGGACAGGAGGGACAGGAGGGACAGGAGGGACAGAGGGACGGGAGGGACAGAGGGACGGGAGGGACAGGAGGGACAGGAGGGACAGGAGGGACCTGCAGCAGCCCCAGCCCCCCCAAACCCAGGGTCCCTCGTGGGTCCCTGGCCCCGCTCGCTGTCCCTGCCATGCGGTGACTGTCACAGCCTGGGGGGCGTCCCTGGGGACAGAGGGACGGGACCGGGCCGGGAACGGGACCCCGGCAGTGTCCCCTCCCCCCGGCCGGCTGCTGCTCCCGCTCCGCTGCCAGGGAGGGCTTTAATTACCAATTAACGTCGCTCCATCTGTGCCGGCCCTGTCCCCGCGTCCCCGCTCGCTCCCTCAGCGCCGGGACCCCCCCGCCAGCTGGGGCGCGGCTCCGCGCCCCCTCACGCTGTCCCCAACTGTCCCCAGCTGTCCCCAACTGTCCCCAGCTGTCCCCGCGGCCACCCCCGGCCCCGCCTGTCCCGTGCGCTCCCCGTCTGTCCCTCCGTCCATCCCTCTGTCCGTCCCTCCGTCCGTCCCTCTGTCTATCCCTCTGTCCGTCCCTCCGTCCATCCCTCTGTCCGTCCTCCCCTCCCCGACCTCTCCTCCTCCCCCTCTCCGCCGCATTTTTAGGGCCGAGCAGCCGCTCCCAGCGGGGCGGGGACCCCCCGAGCCCCCTCCCCAGGGCAGCGCTGCAGCTGCTCCGCCGCCCCCGCATTTCCCCGTTAACACCGCGCGGAGCGGGGCCGCAGCTGCCCCGAGCCCGGGGACCGATGTGTCACCGATGTGCCACCAATGTGCCTCCAATGTGTCACCGAGGTGCCACCGATGTGTCACCAATGTGCCACCGATGTGCCACCGATGTGCCACCGATGTGCCACCGAGCGGCGACAGCTCCGCGCGGGGAGGGGGGGACACGCTGGGCCGGCTGGGGAGGTCCCGATGATCGGGGGATCCCAATGATGGGGAGGTCCCGGGAGTTGGGGTTATTTTTGGGGGGCTCACTCCCCCCCATGGGTGGGATGAGCTGGGGAGGCTCAGCCTGAGGATTTTTGGGGAGGGGGCACCCCAAAACTGTCCCGCCCTGTTCTGTGACCGCTGTTATCCCCAAACCGCCCTGCACCCCACATGGCTCTGGGGTGTTTGGGGCGCTGTGGGATATTTGGGGTGTTTGGGGTGCTGTGGGGTGCTGCAGGGTGTTATGGGGTGCTGCAGGGTGCTGTGGGGTGCTGTGGGGTGTTTGGGGTGTTATGGGGCTGCTGTCCCCCCGCCCTGTCGCCCCCCGCTCAGCCCCTCTGTCGCCGGCAGCGCTGCCTTTGTCCCCGTGTCACCCGGGGGGCACCAGCTGTCACCGCCGGGGCCTTCGCGCTCCTCCTCCTCCTCCTGCTCCTGCCCCTCTTTGTTCTCGGGCTGCTGAGGGAGGGGGGGACACCCGGGGTCGCCATCCCGAGGGGACACGGGGGGGACACAGAGCCCCCAGGGATGGGGACACCCCCAAAGCGGGGACAGGAGGGGACTGGGCTGGGGTTTGGGGGGCGCTTCGTGCCCCCACCCCCGGCTGGCGCCGCTTTGGGGGTGCCCAGGGTGTGCATAGGGGGGTGACCGGGTTTGGGGCGTCCCGGGGGGGGGGGTTCAGGTTTGGGGGATGAGGACGGGGTTTGGGGGGGGGTCAGGGCAGGGTCCCGAAGGGGGGTCCCGGTTTGGAGGGGGTGAGGGCGGGGTGAGGGCGGGGTCCCGGTTTGGGCGGGGTCAGGGCGGGGTCCCGGTTTGGAGGGCTGAGGGCGGGGTCAGGGCGGGGTCCCGGTTTGGGGGTCTCGGGGCGGGGCCCTGCGCGCTGCTGCAGAGTCACCGGCAGGGGGCGCTGCAGGACCGCGAATGCGCGACCCGGGGCGGGGCACGAGAGGCGGAGCCAAGGTGGGAATGGGCGTGGTCACTCACCTAATAAGGACATCGTGATGTGTAAGGGGCGGTGCTATGCAAATGAAGCAGGTGTCGCAAGGCGTGTTGGGAAAGAGGCGCGCTGGGGCCGCGGCCTTGGGGGGAGCAGGGGCGGATTCTGGGGTCCCAGGGATGAATTTTGGGGTCGCATTGGGGCCTGGGGGGCTCTGTAGGGTTGGGGTTACCCGGGAATGGGGCAAAACCCGAGTGGGGGGGTCCCAAAAAGGGGGTGACCCCAATGTGGGGTGGGGTCTGTGGGGTTGGGGATTCCCGAAAAGGGGGTGATCCCAATGTTGGGGTCTGTGGGGTTGGGGGTTCCCGAAAAGGGGGTGACCCGAATGTTGGGGTGTCCTTAGGATGGTTGTCCCAAGCCTGGGGGGGTCTGTCGGGAACATCCATGGGGAGTGGGGGGTCCCAGCCCCATGGGACCCCTGTGCTGGACCCGTGGAAGTGATCGCTCCATAAAGGTTGGGATTTAACAGAAACACCCCAAAAAGCCACCCCAGCAAGGAAGGGAAGAGCCGGGTCCACCCCAACACCGGATTGGGCGGGAAAATCTTTAATTGTGGCTGCATGCAGCTGGGAAGGACAAAGTTCATTAGTGCCTAATTAATCCCTGGATGTCATCAGCGCTGGGGGCGGATCCCAGACCTGGGAAGGGGCTCCTGGATCCATCCCAAATAATCCCAACCCCTGCTCCCGTTCCCTGGGCTCTCCCAGTCTGGAATTTTCCAGTGACTCACCCGACCCCTCCCTCCCTTGTTCGTTTTCATTTTTGGGGTGGGGCGTTTTCCTGGAGGAGAAAAAAAATGGGGAAGGGGCTCTTGGATTCAGGGGATCTTGGATTTGGGGACCCCAAATAATCCCCGTCCCTGCTCCCATTCCCTGAGCTCTCCCAGCCTGGAATTTTCTGGTGACTCACTCGAATTTCCCCTTGATTGGGAAGATTTTTTCCTTTAATTTTTGGGGCTGGGAGCATTTTCCTGGGGGGCAAAAATGGGGAAGGGGCTCCATGCCCCCCCCCCTCCAGTGGCACAAGATGGGCACGGGGACAGGGCCAGCTGTCCCCAAATAGCCCTGGGGACACCAAAAATAACCCAGAGGGACAGCCCAGCTCGGGTTCCCAGCTGGGAACTGGCACAGGAGGGGTTTGGGGGGCTGCCAGACACCCCCTTTTCCCTTTGGGGGGGATTTAGGGTGGGCAGCACCCCCAAAATCCAACCCAGGGGGGTTTAGGGTGGAAAAGAAGCCCAGATCTTGATCCCAGGGGGAATTTAGGGTGGGCAACAACACCAAAATCTATCCTGGTAGGGTTTAGGGTGGGAAAAAAAACCCAAAATCCAACCCAGGGGGGTTTAGGGAGGAAAACACCCCCAAATCTCCATCCCAGGGAGGTTTAGGGTGGGCAACACCCCCAAAATCCATCCCAGGGACGGTTTGGGGAGGACATGACCCAAAATCTCCGGGATCCAGGCACTTCCAGCCCCTCAAACACCTTCCCTTGTCTCCCTGGAGTCCTCTCTGGAGGTTTTGGGGGGCACAAACAGCCTGGACAACCCTGGGGTGACCTGGCCAGCCTCTCCCTGCCGCCAGGCCTCAGATCCCACGGTTTTTTCCCATGGGATTTTATTTTTCCATGGTTTATTTTTTTTTTTCCCGGGATGAAGCAGTGTCTGTGGCATCCTGTCTGTCCCGGCAGGTTTCTGGGGCAGGGCAGGGGTGTCTGGGACGGGCAGGAATGGCAGGATCGGGGTGGCGCTGCCCCAGCCGCCCACCTGCCGGGCTGGCACCGGGCCGGGCAGGAATGGGGCCCAGGGATGGGCAGGGATCCGTGTGGGGTGGGGAGAGCAGGCAGGAATCCCACATAGAGCAGGGATGGGCAGAAATCCAACAGGGATCCGTGTGGGAAGGGGAGAAGGGGCAGGAATCCCACAGGGATCCATGTGGGAAGGGGAGTAATCCCGCACGAATCCATGCAGGCAGGGGTGAATGACCCCGCTCCGGGTTTGAACCCTGCCCTGTAGATGTTTAATTAGGTTACGGGGTTTTAGGCTGGGTTAGGGGTTGATGACCCTGGAAGGGAAAGGGAAGGCCAGGGCCTGATGCCAGCAGCGCTTTTCCACCTTTTTTCACACAGATCCCGGCCCGGAGCAGATTTTTGGGCAGCTGAGGTGGTTGGGAAGAGCCCCAGCCTGGCCCTCACCTGCTGACACCCAGCAGTCACTAACACCGGCCCTGGGACCCCCGGGGGCCATCGCCCCCAGATCTCCCTCCATGCCCAAGGCCTGTGGGTGCTCCCGAGGGGAACAAGGCTGAGGAGCC